AAGAAACTACTCTTCACACAGCAGAACAGAAGATATGCTCACTTATGGTGTGAGGCATGGGTGGGAGGCACTCTCCACACATAGAACATTGCCCACTGCCACTGGTGGCTAATGTATTGTCACTGTTAGGAGCACCAGAAAGAGGAATACACCATGAAGATCACTTAGCTTTCAACTTCTGGGTATTAATAAATGGTAACAGAGAAAAACCCGAAACCTAGCAAAACCACACCAGAGAAATTTTCCCTGGCCATATACTCACAGCCTAACTTCGCATTTTGTTTCAGGGCTTGGGACATACAGAATGAATGCCAAACATTCTGTCAAAGTTGCAAACTTGCCCCTCTGAAGGAAAATCAGGATATTAATCAGCCCACGTAATTTCAAAAGTCCAACCACAATATTCACATACTGCCTCACTTTCCCAAATGACACCAAAGGGTGGTTTCAAAACAGGTGGTACCAGTGCTCCTCTAGCCATGGCCTGGGCTTCCAGGAAACATCGCTTGTGTACTGAATATGCAAAATGGACTGTCCCACAGTTGCATTTTTAGAGTAAATGGTGAATCATCACAAGCAAAGCCACAAGAACCTTTTCAACTTTGGCTCAAAGTGGGCAAAGGGACCTGGCTTACATCCATGAAAGCATGGGGCCAAACCAGCTGCTCCAGAGCCTCGTTAAGTTTAAGTGTATCCTGCTGACTTATTCTTAGCACTCTGTTTGTCCTCTCCATGTTTTCTCTGCAAGTCATGTCTTCTCTGAAGGTCTCTTAGGAGTCTGCAAAACACCCATTCCATGTCACCTTTTCTGAAACGTTCTCTGAGAAGCGTGGCTTCTCCTAGCTGAACCTGGATTACCCAGGCTTCCAGACCTCGCAGGCTTCAGAGCTGATAACACCTTATCTTCCTTCACCTATTAAGCTTTTTATATTTTTGTTATTAGTTTACCTCTTTTCATGTTGTATATTCATTGAGAAATTATAGTAGATACAGTTCTAATGAATGTTCTTTTCTGTAAGTTTTTATATTATAATTAGGTGGTTAACATGCCATTCCAATAGAGTTATGGTTTTCTGTTTTATTTTCACCTTTGTGTACTTTCACTTGCTGTTATGTCACTCACTGATGTCTTTTCATTTCAGCTGAAGACATTCTTTCAACACTTCTTGTAAGGCAAGTCTGGTGGTGGTGATTCCCCCCTCAGTTTTTTTCTGGGAAAGCCTTTATTTCTCCTTCATATCTGAGGGCTAATTTTACTAGAAAACATACGTTGGCTGACCGTTTTTCTTTCGCCACTTTGAATATATCATTCCTCACTCCTGTTCTATAGAGTTTCTTCTGAGAAATATACTGGTAACCTAACGGGGCTTCCTTTGTAGGTTACTTTTTTTCTTTTTCCCTTGGTTGCTTTAAAGATTCTTTCTTGATCATTGATTTTTGGCAGCTTCATTACAAGATATTCTGGGGAGGGCCTTTTTGCAATGAGATAATATGGTATTCTATTAGTTTCTTGGATTTGTATGTTTAATTCCTTCCCCATGATAGGGAAGTTCTCAACTACTATTTTTCTAAAGATAATTCTTGCTCTCCTCTCTTCTGATAGACCAATTGTTTTTATATTTGTTTTTCTCATATCTAATACCTCTCATAGGGTTTCATCACTTTTTAAAAATCTTAGTCCTCTCTCTTCTAAGTTATCTCTAAATTAGTGACCTCCAGGTCACTAATCTGTTCTAAATCTGATCTGTCTTATTTCCAATACTTTCTAATCTAATCTTCATCTGATTCATTGAATTTGTCATCTCCAGAATTTCTGTCTGGTTTGTTGGTTTGTTTGTTTATTTGTTTCAGAGAAATAGAAAATTTTAGTGTGCATAAATAAAAGGGTGGTTTAGTTCTATCTGGTTCTTTTTAAAAACTTCAATCTCTTTGATAAAGAACTCTTTCTTTTTTTCAAAGTTTTATTTAAATTCTATTTAGTTAACATACAGTGCAATATTGGTTTCAGGAGTAGAATCCAGTGATTTATCATTTATATACAAACCCAGTGCTCATCATAATAAGTGCCCTCCTTCATACCCATCACCCATGTATCCCATCCCCACCCACCTCCCTCCATCAATCCTGTTTGTTCTCTATCCTTAAAGAGTGTCTGTCTTATGGCTTCAGCTGGTTAAGCGTCTGCCTTTGGCTCAGGTCACGTTCCCAGGGTCCTGGGATTGAGGCCTGCATCAGGTTCCCCACTCAGCGGGGAGTCTGTCTCTCCCTCTCCCTCTCCCCCACCTCATGCTCTTTCTCACTCTCTCTCTCAAATAAATAAAATCTTTTTTTTTAAGTGTTTCTTATGGTTTGTCTCCTTCCACCTTCTTTGTTGTTTGTTTCCCACACCATATGTTCATGTTTTGTTTCTTAAATTCCACATATGAATGAAATCATATGGTATTTGTCTTTCTCTGATTGACTTATTCCTTTTAGCATAATACACTCTAGCTCGATCCACATGGTTCCAAATGGAAACATTTCATTCTTTTTTTTTTTAAGATTTTATTTATTTATTTGACAGACAGAGATCACAAGTAGGCAGAGAGGCAGGCAGAGAGAGAGGAGGAAGCAGGCTCCCCGCGGAGCAGAGAGCCCGATGCGGGGCTTGATCCCAGGGCCCTAGGATCATGACCTGAGCCGAAGGCAGAGGCTTTAACCCACAGAGCCACCCAGGCGCCCTCATTTCATTCTTTTTGATGGCTGTATAATATTCACACACACACACACACACACACACACCCCACATCTTGATAAATAACTCTTTCTGTTCATTAATTTTATTCCTGAGTTCACTAAATTGACTTTCAGAGTTTTCTTGTAGCTCACCACGGGATCTCTTCCTAACAGCTGTTTCGAATTCTTACTTAGATTGCAACATTCCATGCCTTTGCGATCGACCACTGGAGAATGACCCTTTCCTCTTTGCCATACCATGTTCCTGTGATTTTTCATAGCGTTTGACAAAATGTCTCTGCCATCCCATTTAAAGTAGCACATACCTTTAATTGTTTACTGCAGTTCAACGTACTTGCAATTAGAAGCCACTCCTTTGATTTCCAGAAGGGGGCGCTAGAGCTCGTTTTTGGTTTCTCTTTACCCGCGTTGGCTCCGGGCTGCACTGGAGAGCATTGATTTTAAAAAGCTGGTGTAGGGACTCCTGGGTGGCTCAGTTTGTTAAGCGGCTGCTTTCAGCTCAGATCGTGATCCTACGGTCCTAGGATCGAGTTGGCTCCTGGCTCAGCAGAGAGCTTGCTTCTCCTTCCCACTCTGCCTGCTGCTCTCCCTGCTTTGTACTCTCCCTCTCTGTTAAATGAATAAATAAAGCAAAAAGAAAAAAAAAAGCTGGTGTAGAAAAAGCTGATGGCAGGGTTGGGTAAGGTGTGGTTTTAGCACCTGTTGCTTTGTGGGTGCCCACAACCCACCCCAACAGTGGCAGAATCCTCAAGCTGGGATACTGCCAGAGATCTGAGGGCAAACCCCCTGCTGAAATCCCAAAGCTGATGGCCAGGGAAGAGGTTCCTTCAATGACCTTTGTTATTCTTGTCTGCCCCCCACCCCGGCCCACCCCACCTCACCCCACCCCCACACCCAGAGTTGCAAAGGTCCCTTCTCAGAAATCTGTGCACCTGGAGAAAAGTGGGTTCAGTCAATCACTCAGCACTTTTGCTTTCTACCTCCTCTGTGAGGGCAGTCTCTGGCCCTGAAGAGTGAGCTGGTTCCTCAAGATCCTCCTTCTCCTCTGCCTCCAAACTCCTCTCTGCCCTGCCTGGATGGGTGCTTGCTTCTCCCATCAGGTTGGCTGGACCTCTGCAAATTCTCTCTCTCTGGTGCGTGTCCACCATGTTTGGCTCTCTCCAGTTTTGCTTTTTCCTCAGTTGCAGCAAATGTGGGTAGGGCAATTCCCCCCCACCAGCCCCTTCCCTTGAATTCCAACTCCCTTGGATCCTCAGCAGCCTCCAAGATTCTATCTACTTACTTTTTGAAGCACAGGTGCATAGAAATGTAATGTACAGAACCACCTTCATTCAGTTGTGAATCACCCTTTTAATCTGGTTTCTGTTAAAATATCTTGCTAGAAAACTATTAGGACATCTTATGGGATTGTGTTGGAACTTTATAAGAACATCCAACCTGAATAAAACTCAGATATCAAAAAACTCTACTTTCCTGAGACATATAAATCTGAAGGTAAATACATAAGTAAGCTTTCGATAAATACAAACAGATAAAATCGAGATATGAGAAATCAATCACTGTTCGTTGTATGAAGGCCTTCACTTTGTTTATTCACACAATTCTGACAGGCTTGGGTATCTATTCCTAAATTCATATCAGATTCAAAGCATCAAATTAGTTTTAGGGAGAGGACTGCTAGAAACAGACTAAAAGCAGAAAGAAATGACAGCCGGTCAATTGGAAGAAAGAAAAACACAAAAGAAAAGACTCCTAGAGCCACCTGATCTGGCTCTGAAGAGCCCAATAGGAATCAGTGTATATGCTATTGTGTATTTGGTATTGATACAGATGATAATGGTCATGAATCATCAAGAAACACTTACATCTGCTGAAAACGATAGTCTATGTTTAATAAAGATTCACTAAGATTTCTTCGCAACTTCAGATCTTTGAGGGCCAACCTCATCTGTCTTATACCCCCAGTGTCAACCCAAGACTGTCTTTATGCCAGACATCAAGCAGCAACAACAGTTGCTAAAAAACAAATTAGTTACCTTTCCAATCGAATCTTAGCTACCTGGAGGGTCTTGGACTTTTACAATAAACTGAAATTAAAGTCTCACTTCAGTTAGTTACTTCTCCGAAAGAACAAGTCTTACATATTTAAATCCACCCACCGTAGTTGTGTTCCCATTGCAAAAATACAGTCCCAGGTTACCATGGAGGTAGGATCATGTTGATTGAAATGCTAATGGAAACTAAAGCTCTTGCTTTCTTTCCAGAAATCTTTTGTCCAAATCCTCCCTCTATCCTTAATGGGCAGCACACCAGACCTTCTCAGGGAAACTTTCCCTATGGAAAGGAAATTACTTACATGTGTGACCACCACCCAGCCAGAGGGATGACCTTCAACCTCATCGGGGAGAGCACCCTCCGCTGCACAAGTGACGATGAAGGGAACGGGATTTGGAGTGGCCCTGCCCCTCGCTGCGAACTTGCTGGTTCTACAGGTCAGTGCATACATATTTCCCTATGTCCCATCTAGATCAGAATATCTAGGTGAGAACCTCCCTATTTCTATGGGGACAGTCATTTTGGCTTGGGAATGTGGCTTTCTTCTAAAAGTAAGGCACACAGAATTACCTACTGGGAGAATGACAGGTGTGTTCTAGATGTGCCTTGCTGTGTCCCAATTGCTGGTCCTCTGATGGCCCTTCCTTCTGGGGTGAGGAGTGTGGGATAGTGACAAGAGAAGGAGGGAGACAATGGGAAGAATCAGTGAGGCCCACACTTTACATAGACTACTTTCAAGCACTAAAAGCAAATGCCAAAGAAAACACTCTGTCGTACCATCTCTATTACAAGTTGTATTTCGGAGCTCCTGCGTCGCTCAGTTGGTGGAGCGGCCGATTCTTGACCTCAAGGTCTGGATCTCAGGGTTGTGGGTTCAGCCCCACATTGAGCTCCCTAATGGACATGGAGCCTACTTTAAAAAAACAAACAAACAAACAAAAACACACACACATACACACAAAAACCCAGCTGTATTTCTATTGGATAGATGGGTGTGCTGAGCAAAAAGCACATGTTGATGGCTGTATTTTACTTTAGATTTGATGCGATGGAAATGACTAAGGAAACTCCAAGGCAGGCATTTGTATTGCTTTTGTTCCTTCTAAGTGTTCTGCTCAGCCTGTGACTGCATTTTGTTGACCCTTCGTCTCATGTTTAGCAACAGGCACTCAAGACGTCCTAGAGAAGTGGAGTTCAAGGTTGTGCTCTGGGCAGCTCCCTCCTTTTACATATTAGTCTGGCATTAAATGACAATATCTGTACAATCCGGGGCTCATTCGTGGCTGTCCTGGTCCTTGAAACAGCTCTGTGCACCAGTGAGGACAGGTAGCACCAAAGTGGTCCTTTGCAGACCCCGGTGGTACTCCCATCTGATGCAGTTTGCAGGAAGAGAATACAGGTGGTCCTGTTTACAGGCTGAAGGTCTACATTTAAAGAATCAGTTTTCCCACTGATTGGGAAATAAGTAGTGCCTGCTTTGGGTCTTCCTGTGTCTCTAAGAGTCAAACATGCTATTAGATATGTTGGCGTATTTGTACTTCTTTGTTTCAGTGAATGTCTTTTCTTGTGTTTTGGGGGGGTCTTGTTCTTAGAATGCCCCCATCTGCCCAAGATCCACAATGGGTATTACCTTGAAAGACCTGCATCTCCATATCTTCCTGGAATGACTGTCAACTACACTTGTGACCCAGGCTACTTGTTGGTGGGAAGAGCCTTCATATTCTGCACAAACCAGGGAACCTGGAGCCAATTTGATCATTTTTGCAAAGGTATTTATTATTCTTGTTGGGTTTTTTAATGGAAAATGGATGCACGGGGCTGATAAGACTGAGAGATCTTTCTGAGAAGATTGTGAAATGAGTGTCAATAGAGGGGGGAGAAAAGTGGGGGAAAAAAAGATGGGAAGGAGGTTACCCAAGGACTCTTAGTTCTACCAAAGTAGTAGAATGAACTGATGGAATTTCCAGTAATACGGTAGACATCAAACACCAATTTAAAATGATTTGTGGACTTTTAACTAATAATGTATCTTAGCTCTGAAGGATCTCAGAGAGTCACAAGGGGTCCTCACCAATACCTTAAATAAGAAACTAGAAGTACACTTTTTTTTGTAAGGAAAATTGAAGCATGGAGCAAGGTTGAGAGCAATTAATTCCTGGAATTACTGAATATGGGTCCTTATTATAACTTCCAAGACCAAAGGTGAAGTGCTATTTCATCTCTTCCCTAGAACAAGTGCCAGGAATTACTGCCTTTATTCCTGTCTGTGTTTGCATAGACTTAAAATCTTTTGTTGTTAATATTCTTAAAAACTACAAAATTTGGGATTAAAAATATTCTGTGACTAAGCATGGTACTGAGGTCTTTAATAAAAATTATTTGTGTTAATCTCTCAAGGAGTCTGATGAGTTGGGATTATTCTTGCTATTCTACAGAAGAGAGAATTGAGAGAGAGACCCAGTAACTAGTCCATGGTATGCAGCTCGTGGGTGGTGGTGCCTGCGTTGGGCCACTGCCCCACCCATGCTTTTATTTATTTATTTATTTATTTTTAAAGATTTTATTTATCTGACAGACAGAAATCACAGGTAGGCAGAGAGGCAGGCAACCGCCGAGCAGAGAGCCCTATGCAGGGCTCGATCCCAGGACCCTGGGATCATGACCTGAGCCGAACATAGAGGCTTTAACCCACTGAGCCACCCAGGCGCCCCCCAGCCATCCTTTTAAACACTGCACTGTATTCTGTCTCCTTTCAAATGTGGTTCTTTTGACTTTGCACAGCAGTAAGTTAGCAATTTGCTCTTTGTCCCCCTTCTTTTCTTTTTAGAAAACTAAGAGCAGGGATGAGGTAGGAGGGATTTCAGGCATGCCTGTGTTTCAAATGTAAAGGAGCAGTTAGTCCTATGGCTGCCATGGTGGTTATAGGGCCAGAGGGCGCTCCGCAACCGAAAAGTCTCAGAAGTCCTTGGCTAGCCACACTCTGATTTTAGAGAAAGAAAATGAGGTCCTCTACAGAGGTGTAAATGGCCCTCCTGTATTTATTTACAAGAATGGAGTGCATATACTGTGGAGTCCCTGTGTCTCTGCAGAAATAGGAACGCTTACCCCTCCTTGCTTTAGTCGCCTGGAGAAGTAGGGAGGGTCAAGGAATACTTCAAAGATTAAGTATTCTAATCAAGACTCTAGGAAGGTTCTTCTCCTGAAAATAAAAGGGTAATATTCTATTCTCTTGGCAGCTGCTTTTAAGTAAAATTCATTTTGTCTTAATAACTGTCCTCTTTGAACGTGCTTTATAGCAGTCATTCTAGGTCTTTAGCATGAGCAAAATCAGCCAGGAACCTTGTTAAGATTAGGATCTCAAGCGTCATTCCTAAGAACTCTGATTCTGACATTTTGAACTGGAGTTTGGACTACTTTTAACAAACCCATCAGTATATTCTGAAGTAGGAAGACCACAGACCATACTTTGGGAAATACCACTTTATCTTGTTGGTTCCTATACAGAAAAGAATAATTTAGCCTCATGTTTGAATAATTACAACTAAAAAGCAGGCTTTGCTTAAAGCTGAAGAAGGTATCGACAGCTGGGCAGAAAAAAAAGCAAAACAAAGAAGAAAAAGTAGAAAAATTATGTTTTGAATTTAGAATCATGATTTACTAGCCTCTTTGTTCTATGCATAGAAATGAGCCAGAAACATGCATTAAATCAAGAAGCAAAATACGAGTATGTACTGTATACCTAGGGAGAGTTAATGTGATATTCCTGTTTCCTTATGGGGTGACCAAAGTGGATCCAGTGTTAGAACATGGTGATCATATCTCCCAATCTTTCCCCAGTTGCAGAGGTATCAATAATTAAAAGTGGATGCATAATACATTCCATATTCTTACTTTACCCAAGAAATGAAAGTCAGAGAATTTAAAATCCTAAGATGTTGGGTGGGTGTCAACAGTTCCTGATTGAAAACATGACATCTTTGCTGAAGGCAAAGCAGTTTGGGGTCATAGATCTCTCCACTATGTCAGTTTCAATTAACAATTAACAATAAAATGTCAATTTCCTTCTGATTTTTCTAATTTCAGAGGTAAAATGTATCATCCCAGAGTTTATGAATGGAATCCGGAAGGAGCTGGAAATGAGAAAAGTGTATCACTATGGAGATAATATAACTTTCGAGTGTGAGGATGGGTATACTCTGAAAGGCAGTCCCCAGAGCCAATGCCAGGCAGAAGACACATGGAATCCTCCTCTTGCCATATGCACATCTAGTAAATGGAGCTGCAAGAAATGTAGGTCCTTCCTTAGTCATGGTTACTATTCATTCGTTCTGCAATACTGTCACTGAATGTGGTGTGATGTTTATAACACCTGCTAAGAGCTAAGGAGTACGACAGGAGCTCCTAATTCTTCCCAGAAAGCCCTTGCAATGAAAGTAAGGCAAGCCTCACTCTTCTCACACTGCTCAACCCATCCATCTCTCCTCAGGAACCCCTCTGAACCTTTTTTGTCTATATTACTCTATTGTTGATTGCATGGCACAGTAATGATTTGTTCATAGCCTTGGGGCCTTAAAAGTCAGGAGCACATCAATGGTAGTGCAGGCCTTCAAGAATATTTCAACATGAGTGAGAGAGCACTTTCCAAGGTGCAGAGACAAGATGGTTGGTCTCCCTCACTGGTATACAGGATTTTAAGCTGGTACAGCTGGATAGAGCAGATTTAGAAATCATGTATCTTAAATTGCACTTATGAGTGAAATCATATGGTATTTGTCTTTCTTTGATTGATTTATTTCTTTTAGCATAATACCTAAAGTTCCATCCACGTCATTGCAAATGGCAAGATTTCATTCTTTTGACAGCTGAGTGATAATCCAGTGTGTGTGTGTGTGTGTGTGTGTGTGTGTGTGTATACCACATCTTCTTTATTCATTGAAGAACAAAACAGATGAACAGAGGGGAAGAGAAAAAAAATAAAATAAGTTAAAAATGGAGAGGGAGGTCAATAAGAGACTCTTTTTTTTTTTAAGATTTTATTTATTTATTTGACAGAGAGAGAGATCACAAGCAGGCAGAGAGAGAGAGAGAGAGAAACAGGCTCCCCGCCGAGCAAAGAGCCCGACGCGGGGCTCGATCCCAGGACACTGAGATCACAACCCGAGCCGAAGGCAGCGGCTTAATCCACTGAGCCACCCAGGCGCCCCCAATAAGAGACTCTTAACTACAGGGAACAAATTGAGGGTTGCTGGAGGGGAGGCAGGTGGGGGGATGGGGTAACTGGGTGATGGGCATTAAGGAAGGCACCTGGTGTAATGATCACTGGGTGTTGTATAGAACTGATGAATCCCTAAACTCTACCCCTGAAGCTAAGAACACACTATATGCTAACTAAATTTAATTCAAATTTTAAAAAATTAGTTAATTAAAAAAAAAGAAATCATGTATCATTGAGCTCAGTAGAAGAGTACCCCTCTGCTAACAACTAGAGAGTGATATAAGATAGAAAACCCTCAATCCTAAATTTGTACACATCAAGATGCTATTGAGCAAAATTAACAGTGTATAATCATCTTTAATCAAAATTAATGTGAAGCTGCCCTCCACAACTCTTATAACTCTTTGTTATAATACATGATTGAATGCTAAGATTGTTCAAGATCTATTTTTTATAGTTAATCCCTTAAACATGTTAACTAAGCTGACTCACATAATATTTCCAAATTATAAATTTGACACTCCCTTAATGTCAAATTATATTTACTTCTTTGGCAAAAATCTCACTGTTGAACCAACTGGATGCCTTTAGAGAATTCTGAAGATGTGTCTGCGAGAGAGAGAAAATTCACATAATTGGAAGAGTAACCATACCAGATAGTAAAAGAAAATAGAAAGCCACAATACCTGAATTACTTTATGCCAGCACAAAAAAATAAACTTACTTTCATAAGTAAATGGAACAAAGCAGATATTAATAAAATAAATGTATCTTGCAGATAAAACATAATAACAGACATCAAACCATGGGAAAGGAAAAGATGACCAAATGCTATAAGGTAGCACTGAAGAAATTTTTTTTTAAAGATTTTATTTATTTATATGACAGACGGAGATTACGAGTAGGCAGAGAGGCAGGCAGAGAGAGAAGGGGATGCAGGCTCCCCACCGAGCAGAGAGCCGGAGCAGAGAACTCCTTCCCAGGACCCTGGGATCATGACCTGAACCGAAGGCAGAGGCCTCAACCCACTGAGCCACCCAGGTGCCCCGACCCTTTCTTTTTATCTTATAATAAATACCAGATGGAATAAAGAGAAGTTTAAAAAGTGACCATAGAACAGCTAAGGTAAAATATAAAAATATTTATGAAACAGCTAAAGGAAGGGCAGCGTTTTGAGTTTTCTGATAGCATAGAGAAAATCATAAAATGTCAACAAATTTGTCTTCGAATTTACATACTTGGAAAAGTAAATTTGAAGACATTAGCCAGATGAGATCTCTGTGCAAATATAATGAAGGGTTAATAGTGTTCTCACGAACATATAAGTGGTGGTTGCGATGATCATACAAGCTGACATATATTGAATACTTCGTTCCACTGTTGAAGTATTAGCTAGAGAGAAAGACGCTATAAATACATAAAAACTTAGATCACAGGAAAATGTTCCAGAAAGGAATGTACCAGAACATTTCAGGATATTATAAAAAAATCAGTAGTTCTCAGCCAAAGCAATTTTGCTCTCCAGAGAATACCGGCAAAGAAGAAATTTAAAAAAAAAGACAAGGAATCACTTGATGCTTCCTCAATAAATACTGATTATAGCCAGAATTGTTGGCTTATTACATCCTGAGACTTCATTTCACAGATGTTCTAGGAAGAGAAGTCCACTAAATAAGTTACGAGCCAAATCCTTTTTTTTTTTTTAATTAACATACAATGTATTTTTTGTTTCAGGGGTACAGGTCTGTGATTCATTAGTCTTTCACAGTTCATGGCTGGCGTTCACCATAGCACATACCCTCCCCAGTTTCCATCACCCAGCCACTCGGTCCCTTCCACTCCAGCAACCCCCAGTTTGTTTCCAGAAATTAAGAGTCTTTTATGGTTTGTCTCCCTCTCTGGTTTTATCTTGTTTCATTTTTCCCTCCCTTTGCCCATGACCCCCCACCCTGCCTCTCAAATTCCTCATATCAGTGAGATCATATGATAATTGTCTTTCTCTGATTGACTTATGTCGCTCAGCATAATACCCTCTAGTTCCATCCACGTCATTACAAATGGAAAGATTTCATTTTTCTGCATAATATTCCATTGTATATATATATATACACCACATCTTCTTTATCTATTCATCTGTTGATGGACATCTAGTTGTAAGCGAAATTCTTAACAGTACAGGAGAAAAATTACAGGGACTCTTATTTTTACTTCACATATTTCTGTATTATTTGGATACTATTACATTTGTGATGAAGAAAAAGATATATATATTACGAGCAGTAAACAAGAACTAATATCCATCCATCTATTGGTGCTTCCTTTATGACAAAGGCTTCTCTGAGTCCTTCACATTTGTTAATTCTGTGAGCTCTTGAGCAAGTTAATGATTATAATTAAGCACATATATAGATATATAAAAGCTCCATGAGGGCAGGGATTTTTGTCTATTTCACTTGTGTCCCCAGTACCCAGAATTAAATAGCTTATATGTTCTCAATAAATATTTAGGGTTAGATGAGTTAGATGTACTGTGATCTCTAATACACAGGTAGGATAAATGAGATATAGAAAAATCAATGAACATGGAAAATATATGGCTATTTTTTAGCCATATATTAAACTGATTTTTAACCGAGCCAATCTGACTCCAAGGACTTGCACCCTCTTCTTCTTCTTTTTTTTTTTTTAAGATTTTATTTATTTGAGAGTGGTGGGGAAGCATGAGCAGTGGGAGGGGCAAAGGGAGAAGCAGACTCCCCAATGAGCAGGGAGCCCTATACCAGGCTCAATCCTGGGACCCTGGGGGATCATGATTTGAATGAAAGGAAGATGCTAAACTGATTGAAACACCCAGACTTGCACCCTTGTCTGTCATTCTTCTGATTCTTTTTAGAGCCAACAGGTTGAAAGAGACAGAAGCCCTAGAACAGTAAGATTAATTTAAGGCTCTCTAGTCCCTGAAGACCTACTAGAGGCATCCTGAAATCATAAGCTTCCAGAAACAGCTTTCTGGAGCTGAATGTAGGAAAAAATCAGTGAGGCAGACATAGTCGGCCTAGGCAGCTAGAAAAATGTACACCACAATTTTAGGACAGTTTTACCTAGTAAAGGATTTTTCAGGGTAGTACAATCCTGTGTGATATTTTTCATGTATACTGTTTTATAAACTCTCTTCTGTAATTGTTTTATGATAAAATTTTAAGTTAAAAAAAAAACACACTTTGCTCAGTGCACAAGATAAAATGAAGTTACATGAGGGAAACCAATGGCTTTTTATATTAGAAAAACATCAGACCATGTGCTGAAAAAGCAGGAAGAATCGTCAGTGACTGATCTCCTGTTGGTCATGCTGTGGGCCAGACTGACGCTGTCCTGCTTTTGTCTTCCCCTCAGGCACAAGTGCTCTCATAGTCGGTAAGTTTTGGGAAGGGCTGGATGAGGAGCTCTCGCACCCTGAACAGTAAGTATGCACTTACACGAGTGAAACCTGAAAGGAGAGATCAGTGTCTCCTACATTACAATTTCGGTTAGAAGGAAAGTAAGTCAAAATTCAGGCCACAGTCTGGCAAGACTGGTATCCTCACAGGCATACAGAGTGAGTGTCCTTGACGGAAGGTTCTATACTGGCTTTAAACTGTTACAACTGAATAATCCTCCTTCGTGTTCGTAGCTGGAGAGCCCTACTTCCTCTTTGGTTTATAACCCAGGAAGTTTCCTCAGGATGGTATCACGCCCACTCCCACAAACTGGAAGCCACAAAGATCAACTTCCTTAGCCCATTTAAGAGAAGTGGTTTGGTGGCAGACTCTGTGGCAGAGGACAGCTGGTCCCTGGGCCTTACACAAGGCGGGAGCGCAGGGCCCTCCAGCGCCGAGGCCAGGAGCTCCAGGGCTGTTGTCACCTAGCTGTTGAAAGGCTGCTGTGGACTAAAGGTTACAGACTGCCCTGCTCACACTTTATCAGTGACCCTGACCCTAAGACTAATGTGCTAGATTAAACCAGGAGTAGAGGGAAACTCCTAAAGGTAAGCCTGTGTGAGGTATTTCTTTTCTTTCTTTTTTTTTTTTTTTTTTTAGATTTTATTTATTTATTTGACAGAGATCACAAGTAGGCAGAGGCAGGTGGGAGGCGGGGGGTGGTGGGGAGAAGGCTCCCTGCTGAGCAGAGAGCCTGATGTGGGGCTTGATCCCAGGACCCTGAGACCATGACCCAAGCTGAAGGAAGAGGCTTAAACCTCTGAGCCACCCAGGCACCCCATTGTGAGGTGTTTCTTAAAAGTAGAATTTATACTTGCATTTAAAGAACTCACTGGCAACTTCGAGTGCGACTAGATGTTTAGAGTTTAAAATGTATGGGTTATATTTTCTGTGCATTCAATGACCCTGTTTTACTGCCTAGGTATTTTCTTTGGCCTGATCTTCTTTCTTTCATCTGTCATTGGCTCTTATTGGATAATTGTAAAGCGCAAAAAAAGGTAAGCATAGCCATATTGTCCTATAAAATGTCTATGACTGTACCTGCCTCCTCTTAAAAGCCAAAGAGAAATGAAAGAAAACCTCAAAAAAAAAAAAAAACCACTACATAAACAGATGTAATAATTCATAATTATAAAGAAGATCCTTGATGTACATTATAGAGAAGTATTCACACTAAAAGAAATATATAAGATAATAACATTTTTTTCAAGTGATACTTAAAATTATATAAGCGTCTCAGAGATCTGTGCCAGGTACTGAGAGAAGAAAACAATACATATTTTCTGTTACCTCATTACCACCATCATTCAATTGGATAGCCATTCATTCAGCATATTCTAAGGTTGTATTTTCTCTCACTCCATGTACCACCTATCATCCAAGACCCCTTCTAGGCCATTCCTCAGATAACCACTTAGTCATTGTGCCTTGGAAGCTGCTCTGGAACACTTGTTGGTATAAAAATCTGCTCTTCCTCACGCAAGGATCTCAAGTTGCCCTTCCTCACCCTCTGAAAACTTTGGCTCCTGATTCACTCTTGCTCTTTGTCTCAAGGGATGCCCTCCTTGTAATTTCTAAGAAAGGGTAAAGAGTAACTGAGTAATGAAGTACTGGCAAGTGGCCAAGTGACTTAACTCTTTGTGCTTCCACCCTGAAATCCCTAATACCAACACATACTGAAACCTAAAGGTACCAGTATTGCATCATGTCTCATTTAATTTCTGTCAGGGAAGTGCTTACTTAGCCCTTGAAGAGGCAGAGCAGCACACCACGTGAGATCCCAAGATTTGTGAGCAGTGAGAGCTGTGTTCACTCCCACCTACTGGCTATGAAACCCCCAGGGAGACACTTCCCTTCTCTGAACTTCATTTTCCTTGTCTGTAAAATAGGGACAGTAGTTCCAAGCTCACTTAACACAGTGCCTCACTTAGGATGAAGGTCAGAAAATGTGAGCTATCGTTCTTCACACGTGATCGTTACTGGCATCTCAAAGCATTAAATCCTTGGAAATACTGTCAGTCTTCCTATGCCTCATGACAAGGACTGCTGCTCTCCAAACTGTGGACGTTAATTGGACAGAACACAGAACTTCTACCTTCACTAAAACAGAAGAGGAAGCTTTGGGTCAGACCCACTGTACAGGGCCCCTGACCTTGAGAGGCTACAATGTCACAATCAGGCGATAAAGGGTTATTTGCCTGTCAGAACTGCTGTGGAAGGAAGTGTTGCTTTAGGTATGGACACTTATCTGTAAGAATTCAGAGTCTTCTGACACAAGGTACAGGGTGGTTTTCATAGCTTTTCCTCCTTTGAGTTTTGACTTAGTCTTGAAAGGGGAGATTTGGTTATGTTTTCCTTTTACATATCTCACAAAGATTTCAGAAACTTCGGCAAATTCTGCCCTAAATTTCAAAGTGAATGCCACTGACGAATTTCTTCCAAGACTGAAATGTATATAATTAAGCTATTTTCCTATTTTTCCTTTTCTGCCCATTAGCAAGAATACAGATGGGAAACCTAAAGAGATGATCCATTTACATCCTCAAGAAGACAACAGTGTAAAGCCTCAGACTCTGCAAACCAATCAGGAAGACAGCAGGTACCTCACGTATATCCTGAACTCATGTCTTGGAAAGCTCAAGTACTGAAAAATGAGAACAAGATCTGCATAGATTGCTGGTCTAGCTGGATCCCTGGGGCTGGGGTGTCAGAAGGTACTTCAGGAAGTAGAAATGCCTTGGTTGCTGTTGTGTTGGATTCTGGCTGTTTCCAGCAGTTGGGTGAGGATTGCCATCTGCGCTGTGCACAGGCACTGTTTTCACAGAGCATTCCTCTATTTTTGTGCAGGGGTGCCATGAACCTTTGAGAGGGAAGCTTTTGTTTTTCTTGTGGAACCCAAGCATTTGCCACGTGGGTGTGCCTCCGGGTCCCCCCACTCCCCTTAAGTGCACAGGGTCACCTCAGGATCCTGTGGAGTCTTTGCATTTCCTGCTTCCCAGCTCTGACTCAATTCTCTGCCTCACCTGGCCTCCTAGATCTGCTCTCTCCCTTCTGTGCCCCTCCCCCGCCCACAGGGGCTTGTCACCACACCGCATGCCTGCATTCCAGGAACTGAGAGCCCCAGCTTGGCCTCACAGGTGTTGTGTAGTAAATGTTGAGCTGTTTGCTGAAGGACTGGGGTGAAAAGGGAGATTATGCTACAACCCAAAGGGGCACACAGTGTAGAACTGAATAGTAGAAATCATGGAACCTAAAAGTAACTGTTTTGTAAATAAGGGCTTACTGGAACACAGCCTCACCCACTGTTGGCCTACTTACAGCTACTTTTCCCTCTGCGACAGAAGAGTTGAATAGAAGCCACAGATGGTGAGACTAGGTAGCTCCCAGAGCCAAAAATATTTACTATGTGGTCCTTAAGAAGAAAAGCTCCAGACCCTGAACTATATCATATGATCTGATTTTCTCACTGCTTGATCCCCTTGTAAACCTTGGTTGCCTTGCCACCCTTTTCCTAGGCCTCTCCCACATTAGACACCTGTCAGTTTTGTTAAAATCTTTAACATGTTCTCAGGGTTCCTTATTTTGACTCTTGGTTTTCTTGTAAATTCAAAATTCCACTTTTCTTTATCATACAGAGGATTTTCCCAGTCCTTGCTTACTCTGGCTATGCCCAAGTATCCTAAAATTTCTTCCTATCCAGATTCTTAGGACACTGTTAGAAACACCAGCACAAAAGCCCATTAAAGGGATTAGGCCCCTTTCTAGAAAACAGAAGCAAAAGTATCACATTTTTTTTTAAAGATTTTATTTATTTATTTGACAGAGAGAGATCACAAGTAGGCAGAGAGGCAGGCAGAGAGAGAAAGGGGAGGAAGCAGGCTCCCTGCTGAGCAGAGAGCCTGATGCGGGCCTCGATCCCAGGACCCTGGGACCATGACCTGAGCTGAAGGCAGAGGCTTTAACCCACTGAGCCACCCAGGCGCCCAAAAGTATCACATTTTAAAATAAATCTCCGTTCTGTCCTCTTTCCCATATATATATCAGCGTGCATTAATTTAAACCAGCAATTTTTTTTAAAGATTTTTTTTAAATTTATTTGACAGAGTGGAAATCACAAGTAGGCAGAAGCAGGCAGAGGGGCAGGCAGATAGAGTGGCAGAAGCAGGCTCCCCGCTGAGCAGAGAGCCCGATGTGGGGCTCGATTCCAGGACTTTGGGATTATGACCTGAGCCAAAGGCAGAGGCTTAAACCACTGAGCCTCCCAGGCGCCCCTAAACCAGCCATTTTTTAGCAACAAACATGTCAGAAATCTTAAATTCAACAGAAGACAGAAGTGGCCACAGAAAAAGGTAAAGGGGTGGGAGAGGCATTTATAGTTAATCATGATGTACACAATTCAGATCTTCTAAACAAACACAGAAGGTAGGGTCAACTTTCTCCTAATTAGAATGTGTGAATCCCTTGTTTACTATCAGGCTTTTACTCACTTTGCTTTTGTTGCATAGCTTGTCTTTCATGGCTGTTTATGAAAGCAAATGAAACAGGCATTGCTTTTTAAAAATTCAGAATTGCTAATTTACTTTTTGAAGCTTTAATGATCATCCAGCTGATTCTTCTCAAAAGACCATTAGCATGTACCTGGGGAAACCCAACTGGTAGATCCACAAGATATAGAAGTCAGGACATGGTGTGACCTTCTAGGAGAGTAATTTTTTTCTGATGTTATTCCAGTAGTTGCATTGGAAAAGAACACTATGTTAACACAAATAACATATGTATGGGAACAGAAGTCAAACAATGCAGGAGATTTTAAGATAAAGTAAGACAGAGAATATTATGCTGCTTTACCTTATGCTCTTGGGTTGAAGCATTCTTTGTCCTTTACTCTGAAGGAAAAGCTGTACAAAAGTGTTTCAAAGCCCACTGTGCTACCTGTCACCAACAGAAACACACAAAGTAACTTTAATTAAATTAAATTAATTAAAGATGAGTTGATTTCTCCTCAGTCCTGCCAGGGTACCTACCTAAACACTTGACCATTTTTCTTCCGATCAAAATTGCATTAGCCCAGCTCAGAATTCACTCACCCAAGAAGCTCTCCCCAAATGTTCTGGTGCAAAGTAATGTCTGTCTTTGGCACTCATAGCACATACTATCTCTACCATTTTCGGAATATTTTCTTTTAATAGTAATATGTGCTTAGGAAAATAATAGAAAATACCAGAAAAATATAAATAGAAAAACTACCTGTAAAAACCTCCATCCAATGGCTAATAATCCTAAGCTTATTCACATACTTTACAAGTTTATACACTAGGATTTTATTAACTGTATATTAAATCCTAGTTTGGTTTGCACCATTACAAACTGTATGTAAACTTATATCCACAGTATTCAAAATTTCATTTATCATTGTTGCCTGTTAGCACTACTACGCTCATTGACTTGCTCAGTCCTCAAACACTGATCACTCACTTAATGTGCCAGTATTGTATGTATACATTTTCTTTGCCATGCTAAACTAGCTTAGAGTAAGGATTCCCATTTAAATTTCCCCCAAATCTAAGTATAGACTTAATCAAATGAGAAGTGTACGGTAAATTGTTGAAGATAAATTTATCAAACTTTTCATGTATCCTCAACTTTTTCTGGAACATTCTTTTATATCAAGGTACACGTAAAATTGTGTACATTGACTGCTGATCAACTTTAAATTAAATGGTAGGAAGTCCTTAATGAGTTTGTCTCCAATCTCCTTTTTAAGATTGGGATTTTGGCCATAATGTTCTCCAGGAGCAGGGCTGATCATCGGTGGCAAGATACGGTAGACAAGGAATGAGTCAGAATCTGCACCCTGCGCCCAAGCCAGGGGCAAGGGCCGAGAGGGTGATACAGGTAAAGAGGTAGATTCCAAAGACACAGCTGCACACTAAAGGACATGAGAATGTTCAAAGATGACGCAGGTAACAAATGATGTTGGGCAATCTTGTGAGGCGGAGAGAGGAACACTGAGGGATCAGGTAGCAGTAATAATAGGGGGTGTCAGGTGAGCGGCTGGGCCTCCGCAGGGATCTGTCCCCTGGTGGGAGGACAGTCATCCTGGCCTGAAGCACGGCCAGGGAAGTGTTTGGACATCTTGGACTATATGGTATCTTCTGCAAATCGTGACTGCAGTAGGGGGAGGACATGCTCCTGGAGGCAGAGCCTCGTCCAAACTACCAGCTCCTGTTTACTCTTCCTGCCATGGCCTGGCTCAGAAAAGAGAGTCAGAAATATTTCGTGTGTTATGAGGGACCTCTATGTTTCTGGAACGAGGCTCTTTCTATTTAGTCGCTCAATTGTGAGAACACTTTTCCTTTGGCAAAAAAAGGTGACGAGGAAAGGTCCACTTCTTCATTAATCTCTCTCTTATCTACTCAGTGTCTCAACTTTGGCCGTATTTTCTTGGGCCCTACACAGCAACCACTAAGGAGGGCAGAAACACGTCTTCTGAACTCGTAATTATGTGTAATGCTAGTATCACCATTTTAAGCAGCAAATTCGTGGGCCGTTCCCTTGTCACCATGCTGTCACCTGAATAAAAACATCCTGTTATTTCAGTGCCCTTCCTTGACAAAGTACCACAGAGCTGGGCAACACCTTGAATCACAATGTTGTTGGAAAGGAGCCTATTCAACAGAGTAAGATGGGAGACTCGTACAATGACAGACGTGACCTCGCAGAGACCAGACATGTGCCCAAGAAGATGCTGACACGCTCCCAGGACCCCGTAAAACTCCCTCCTCTTAGCCTGGGTTACTGTCAGTCCTCTTGCCCTCCGCTGCTGAATGCACACCTCAGCTAGTAAGGGGAAAAGACTGCACTCAGGGTTTATAAATAGTCTCAGTTACATAAAGGAAGACGGCGTCACTTTGGATTTCTGTTTACAAGTTGGTGATTTCCCTTTCTCACTTTCAAATAAATGTTCATACTATGGAATGGGCTCATTAACGAGAGGATCAAAATCCAGGAGGAAGATATGAAAAACAAATAAGTCACACGTAATTATACTATTCAGTGATAACCACTGTTAATATTTTGATTTTTTGCTAACCTTTCTTCATACATGTTTGCTTCTTTATACACATATCTTTCTTAACAGTCACTTTTTCTTCTGTAGAGCAAAATCTATTAGAACAGAAAAATATAGCTAGATCCGTTTTTGCTATCACTAGGAAAAAAGTATTTTCTGTTTATTATATACAAGGCAGAAGCAACCACAGTGTCTTCTGTTTAGACAGAAGGGGGAGAGGTTTTCAAGAGAAACATCTTAAACAATGAGATCTGGGTATTTCCTAAGCTCTATTTCAAAAGCAATTTGTACTGTGTGTCTAAAACATACTAACTCAAATAAAAGGAGGATTTTATTATAAAGCAAGTGACTTACTTTTTGTATAGATTCCGAATACACCCAATAAACTAGGAAACCCTGAATTTAAGAATTGCAACATAAATGTACAGGTCTCTAAATAAGTGGTCCTGGAGTCTGTAACTGGTCCACACACTTGCAGATCGGCCATGCTAATGATCTAGAAGATACCAGAATCTTTCTGGGTAGTTAACAATAGACTTGCATATGACGACTGCTAACTTCTGTGTAATTCTGGTTTGCTTTTCAAGTGTATTGTGCCACACTTATCTCGATAAATATAAAGAGGGAACTGGACATCAACTGGAAGTTGTCTTTAAAATCATAGAAAAAAGGGGGAAAAACAGCATTAACAAAGTCAACTGACAAACTAGGAGGAAAAAATTATAACTTATATCAAAGACAAGGGTAACTGGCATATTTAGAGAGTAAAAAAATAAAAGACCAAACCTCCTCACCTCTCCTCCCTGTAAATGGGCAAAGGATATCCAGCCGGGCCTTCAATAAAAGAAAGGCAAGTAACCAATGAATATATGAAAAGATCCTCAGTGGTTTTGCTTAGTTGAAACTTGGGGAAACTTTGGGAAATATATTAGGTCTTGAGTTTCTGAAAAAGTACATTTTAAACAAGGGCTAGAAATTAACTGATGGGAATTGGCCTTTCTTAGAATTAAAATTCCCTACCACAAGAAAAAAATGTAAATTCCTTTATCCCCCCAGAATGCAGTAGGTCAGTAAGTATTGTGATTAACCAGTATCTGATGACCATGCCATTGAATTTCAAGGAATTCATGAGATTTTTTTGCCTGTGACATCAGTGATCCATGGGAAATACTGCTTCTACTAACTATGGGTAAAATACTGACCTGTCTAACTTCATTTGCATTGTTGAGTAATTCTGTTAACCTCTGGCCTTACATTTTTCATCCAAGAAGCAGGTCTCCAAGATTATTCTTAGTGCTAACAATCTAATTTTGTTTCTCATTTCCTTTTTGTGTACACGTAATTGTGAGGTGTAAGTTAAAGTCTATGACATTTAAATGGTATGTTCTATTTTCTCACTACAATGGGATAGGAATAAAAGATTTTTTTTCCTTCTAAATCTATGTCTGGAACATGGTTTGTAATATATTTACTTTTTAAAGCCTTCAAAAGCCAAGAGGAAACAAAATGAACATGCTTTCCTTCTGAGAAGTGCCGCCATCTCTGCACCTCCTGGTTTCAGAATCCCTCCCTGCGTGGGGTGTGGCTTATCACTGGAATGTTCTTGCCAGTAACAGCTAAATATGAAGGTCAACTGTCTGGCAGGTGCTCACCAGGTACAAACGGAGGTGGCACAGCTCCCAGGGCCAACATCAAAAAGATGGCTTATCTTTGCTCTGTTTAGGCAGTCTCTTTCAGCGTTTCACAGCTAACCTAGTGTGTAATTAATTCACTGTGACCGTGGAAAGCCTTTTCTGAGAGTCCTCACAGGCCCATTTCTCTGAAAAGCATGATGGAAATACACTAATTTAGGAGGCCAAGAAGCATCTGGCATTCAGATTAATTTTACACAAGTTGGCCTCTGTTTGATAACATCCCCACACCCCTCCCTCCACCCTAGTGCCATTCATGAGGCCTTAAAGGAGATCTAGCACACAGCTTCAAACCTGCTGGACACACAGGCATACTCTCCATGCTCTCCTCTTTGTCACTTGGGCGGGGTGACAAAAATCTTTAGGGGAGTTGCAGGCACCAGGAGCCTTTACTGCCCAAACTCACTCAAAGCCTTGGCTCTTGAGTTCTATTCCTGTCCAGGCTACAGGATGTTCAATGTCAACACTCTCCCTTTGAACTAAGTCACTGAAATGATCTCAAGGCTAAGGGACAGACAGTAGCTCCACTTCCTATCACAGCTCGCACTGCCTGAGACAGGACGTTTTCTGGGCAGACAGTTGTAGCTCCCTCCTTTAGAGACAAACCCCACCATGTTCCTACTGTCTAAGATTATTAAAACAAAATCTCTCAGAATCTTCCCAGCCCTTATTTGGTAAATCCATGCTGGGGGAGAACAGGCAGAGACAGGTTAGAGGCATTTGACAGCAACACCCATTTATTTCATGCAGTATTCATAGGCATTTATTATGCACCTACGAGAGACCTAGAACTGTCTTAGCACTGGAGCTACAGCAGGAAAACTCTATCCCTGTGTCAAGGAGCCTGTTCGGAAAAATACGGAAAAGGGCTCCAAATTTCCAATGGAGCCTTTATTGGGGCAAGTGAAAATAAATTACTCTATGTGAAATTATCCAATTATATTTAGAGTGTCTTGCCAGTAACAGCTAAATATGAAGATCCCCCAGTACAGATTTTACTGATTGAAAGAAATTTCCAGTAAAACCCCAATTCTTGACTCTAATCTAGTTTGTGTAACTAGGAAACCAAACTCCTGCCATACTTTGCCACCTTTTAATTTACGCATGAGAATAAAAACTTACTTCTAAGACTAGAAATAGATGGGAAAGTATTTTCATCTTACTGAGATGTAACTGACATATACCGTTGTATACAGATGGTGGCTGAGAAAAAGAGACTCTCTGTTTTCACAGTTAAGTGTCAACATTGGACAACAGAACATTTCTGTTATATAACTCTTTGTAACAGTAATAACAGAAATAATCCCCCCTGATTTTCTCACTCAATCTCTCCTTAATTATACCTCCTTTAAGTCAGTGTTGTGATGGAGTGTGTGGATTTTTTTTTTTTTTAGAGATTTATTTATTTATTTATTTGACAGAGATCACAAGTAGGCAGAGAGAGAGAGAGGGGGAAGCAGGCTTCCCGCCCAGCAGAGAGCCTGATGTGGGGCTCGATCCCAGGACCCTGGGATCATGACCTGAGCCGAAGGCAGAGGCTTTAACCCACTGAGCCACCCAGGAGCCCTGAGTGTGTGGATTTTTGACAGTGAGATGTTTTAGGTATTATTTCCATACCTTTTGTTTCATAGGCCATCAAGAATCCAAACATTGTGTTGTTCTGGGAAAAGAGGCAATTCCATGGTTTGATGAACCCACAAAGTTTTTAGTACCTCTCAGGTACAGAAATCTTTAAAATATACAGAGAGTTTTGTAATTCCAGAAGATGCATTTGAGGTTAATACAGAAAGCTTACCTTTCCCCAGCATTCTGTTATACCCTAATTCTGTGTGATGTGGGATCAACCCGAATCATTCTATGAACAAAATAGTAGTTGATACATAGGTTGGACTGAAAATTTTTCTTCCTCTCATTCCTAAAACACAGGGTCAATATAGAAAACTGAAAAGCATAAAGAAAATGAAATACCCATAATCCTATCACTGACAGTTAATTTTAAACTAATTGCTCTATGAGAATGCTGAAGGCAAACATTTATTTGGAGTCAGTTATTTTTTTTTAACTTACATATATATTGTAGTTTCTCACATAGATTTTTTAAACTCCTGCTGCATAGATGTTCATAAAACCACCTATTAAAAATTCCTTGTTCTTTGGCTAGACACTGAAGATTTATTTATTTTTTCCAAAATTATACATCTTTGGTCACAGCTCTGATGATTTCTTTGGGATAAAGTCCAAATGCAACCGGTGGTTTAAAAGTCATGGCCATTTAAAAACAACATACGAAAAAGTTAAATTGAAAGCCGAAGTTTGAAGGTGTTGGTCCCCCCAATACATTTACTCACACTGGCTGACATTTGTCGTTCTTTGCCAGCTAATGGGAAGAAAATGTCAATTCCTTTTGTGTACTCTTTTAATACAGGTTGTGACTTTTTTTTCCCCTCTTCTTAGTCATACAGGTTTAGTCAGAATGCTACAAACAGATCTGGCTCATTTCCTCTTGATTTTCCACTGAGAGACTGGGTCATCAGGAAATTTCCCCTCTTATGGATTCCTCTCCATCCCAACAATAACGGCTTTAATTAAAGCACTTCCAGGAGATGGGCAATTAATACACCCTGTCCTTACCTTTCTCATGCATCTTTTTCCCCTCTTCAATAAAGCATTTAGTTGCTCAAGGGCAAGGATCCCAGAGAGGTGAGGCCCCAAATGCTAATGAATAATTCATCTACCTTGCTTTACTTGAGGGGCTGGGAGTGCAGTGGCCAAACCTTTGAGATTCTGAAATCTATCAGGCCTCCAGAGGATCCCAGAGCAGATGCTGAGAGCCCCGCAAATCACAAGCACTGTCCCTCCATATGCTCGACTCATGCCAACTCTTGAAACAAGGGCAGGGAGTCCGGGCAGTTCGGAGGCCCCAAAACACACAGCAGCCTGGAGGGGTGCGGCCCCACGACGACCCGCTGCCTGGCCTTAGGTTTCTAGTTTCAGGTCGCTGTGCTTTTCGCTCAGTGAGGCGTTCGGTTCCGGAGAAGGGACAAAGAGGACCCCGCCAGCTCTGCTTCCCTTCGCACCCTCCTGAGTCCGGGCGGTGAGCCCGCCGAGCCCCGCAAGCCGCCGGGGACGTCGGGTCAGTGCGCAAGGGATCGTCGCAGGGCCGCCTGGCACCCGCGGAGACGACCGAACAGCTCTGCGACCCCGCAGCCCGACCCTCTCCTTCCCACGCCAGGTTCCAGAGGTCAGTAGGTCCCCACCCAGGCCCCGCCCCCGAGAGCCGGCTGGCCCCGCCCACTTCGGGAAGGAGAGTACTTCCGCCCAAACCGCGCTGAGGCCACGCCCCCGCGGCGGGCTCCTGACACCCGGCCACTCGGGATTGTTGCGTCGGCCCCCCAAACCTGGGAGGGTGTCGCTTGGCGGACTCTCAGGTTCCCGCGGGTCTCCGGGAAGATGACGGTGTCCTGCGCGCCGTACGTCGCCCGTTGCTTTCACCCCGAAAAGCGCTTTTCTTGGCGCCTGGTCGGGGTCCTTCTGGTGGCCCCAGTGCTCCTGCTCTCTCTGAACTCCGGTAAGAGTCTGGAGAGGCTGTGCCCTCTGGCGGTGAGCAGACACGTTTGCTCGCCGTGAGAACCCCAGTGTCAGGCACACAGTGGCGGTGGAGAAATAGTTGCTAAAATTTATCAGGAGTGGCAGAACAAACATACTGCTCGTGAATACGTTATAACCCAAAAGAAGTGCTCTGGGGGAAAGGAGCTTGACCCTCTGATAGCATTTACCAATCACTAGGGGCCCCTGGTGGGCCAAACTCCGCCTCTGTGGGGCTTCTGTACTTACTATTCCCTCAGACTTGGAACATTCTCCTCTGGCTCCTTCTTATCTCTCAAGCTCAGTAGAGGTGTCAGCCCCTCAGGAGGCCCCTCTCTGACCACCCTATCTCAGACAGACACACGCACACCAGCTCAAATCCCCCCTGACTGGGAGTCACCCCTGCAAACATGTTTTCTGCTCTCCCCATGAGAATGTAGAGAGCTTCTCTGTCTTGTCACACTTGCGGTTCCAGATTTGCAATTTTTTGCCCAGTGTCAACACGCTTGTATAAGTATTGAGTACCAGAAAATGAATTATAATAATTATATAGATATAAATAATATAAATTAAATAAATAATATAACGAAGCTGGGGCTTAGAGTGCCAGAAACCAGTCCTCCCGCTTCCAGGAGGAAGGTTCTTTAAACACCTGTCCTCAGGATGGCCTTTCTGCGGTGCCTAAGCTAAGTCAGGGGAAGCTGACCATCACAGAGGCTCTGTCTTCCCTGTTCTGTAGAATCTGTAGAGCTCACCATACTCTAATCTTGCTTGTTCCCGATCATGAAAAAGTTCATTTCTGTGGGGGGAGTAGCGTGGGGAGGGACCAGGGGCAATAAAAAGAAAACAAAAAAATGTTTTAAAAAAGGATCAAGTTTAGATGAGCCTTGGAGCTCACGTTGGATGTTGTTTGGAAGAGAGAAAATAAAATGACTGGGCTGCAACATGGAAGGTAGCAAAACTTAAAAATGCAGAAAAGGAAACACAAAACCAAGTTGAAAGTTCAAAGGTAAAATCAGGATAGGTATGAAATTAGAGAAAGTATAAATGAGCCTCCTTATGTCGGGCAGGGAAAATACGGGACTAGAATACACATTCAGTTCTGAAGCAGCTCACAGGCCAGAAGTAGGTTCGTAAGCAGGCAGCATTGTGCCTGGAGGCTTCCCATCTCAGAGGGAGGTAGTTGACGGCTGCATGAGATGGCAGAAGCCAACATTCGTCCAATTCAGAACCAGTCTCATTCTTCTAGAAGGGGTCTGCGTTTTGGACAAAACCCACCACCTCCTGCTGTGAGTGATGTCTCTTTTACATCTTTTCTTTCTCTCTGGTGGATGAAGCCAGGATAGATCCATTAAGTGTTTACAGGGTAGTTTCTTACTTCCTTACTCTACAGGTTATAATGCAAAGAGAGCAGTCCTTATCTGGTCAGTTGCTGGGTCACCAGAATCCTGGGAGTTAGGCAACAGAGGAAATCCTGTAGCCAGGTCTTTCTGGCCAAAGCTTAAAGATGATGCTTTTCAGTATTAGATGCATCCCAGTATATTCTTCAGCGAGGTGTTCTGTTGGACACCAGTGGTCCTTTGAGTGCCAGATGGTTTTGCCCAGCTCCTCTGAGGGACATGCTGTGCTTGGTGTTATGGCCTCATGGGCCATAACAGGGGAACTATTGAACACAGAAACCCGTGATAGTGACTGAGCGATCCATGCGGAGGACAGTCCAAGAGGAGGCCACTGGGCACTGCCTCCCCGGGGAAGCAGATGGTGCTTGCTAGAGGAGTGGTTGAGTGGATTCAGTATAAGAAGACAGGAGTTGAGTGGGGGTTGCAGCTGAGCAGGAAGGAAGGATGTTTAGAGCAGAGGGGAGCAGTGTGATCAGAGGCTTAGAGCTGTGACGTGGCTGGGGGCTCCCAAGGACCGTGGAGCTGCCCGGTGTGGCAGCTGGAGGACAAGGGAGGCAAGGGAAAGGCCAAGGACTAGAACACAGAGCCAATCACTGTGAAAAGCAACAGGATAGTGAGGAATGAACAATCCCTATCATTAAAATTCAGGCTTGATGTTGTTATCTGTCCCTTCAGGGCACTTGAGCCCTTTTGTTTGACTTAGCACACAGCAAATCTAAACCAGGGTTCCTTTAATTTCTCCAGACTCGGTAGAAGACCATTTCTTGAGGATGGCATTGCAGGGTGTTGGTGTAAGCGTGGGAGGGTTTCAGGTGAGTGTGGTGAGAAGCAGTGTCCGTAGGGGAAGCAGGAAATGGATCTGGCTGCTGGAGATGTTGGCTTGGGCCAGTGACTTAACCTACTGTGCCTTACCTGGCCCATCTTAGAGAGGGGGCAATAGTGCCCAACCCGTAGGATGAGTATGAAGACAAGTTAAATTGTGCTTAAAATAGTAGTATAGGGGGGCACCTGGGTGGCTCAGTGGGTTAAAGCCTCTGCCTTCGGCTCAGGTCATGATCCCAGGGTCCTGGGATCGAGCCCCGTATCGGGCTCTCTGCTTGGCAGGGAGCCTGCTTCCCCCTCTCTCTCTGCTTGCCTCTCTGCCTACTTGTGATTTCTCTCCGTCAAATAAATACATAAAATCTTTAAAAAAAAAAAATAATAGTATAGGTCATTTCCCTGAGCACCTCTCCTTCTGATTGTTTTTGATGGGCAAAGCAAATAAAGGACTGCATGTATTATCTGATTGAAATCCAGGTACAAATCTAGAGCTTTTCACTAAAGAATCCTAAGGGGAGAGGGGAATGATAATGAAGGCAATACAAAAAAATTCAACTACGAGTAGGGCTTGCAACCTAATCTTGGCGTTCCGAGGCAGATTACTATGTGCATTTTGCGGGGAGAAGTAAAAATAATTGAGGAACATCTGACATTGCCATCTCCCTCCAGTTCCTGTTACCGTGATGATGATCACTGACTGTCCTTGGAAAATTGTAGTCTAATGGATGTACAGAATGGAGGTAGGGAATTGATAAAGTTAAACCATATATCAGGACCCACGAAATGGAGACCCAGTGACTTGGCCCACATCACAGATTTAACTCTAAGTCTGCCCGCACTTATGGGAAACAATTGTCAGGGACACCCAGCATACCCCAATCACCATCCTCAAAGCTTAGGGGACTTTCTTGAGGAATTGGGCTGGCTAACCTTATAAGGAAATCTCCAGTCTCCCAGCCAATCATGCCCTGTTTCTGAGTTTCCTCTTGGAAAGCTCTATAAATCTCCTTCTCGCTCCAAATCCCTCAGGAATAGTGCTCCAGAACATGAAAGTCACCACATTCCCTCAATCTGTGGATTGTGTTCCCTTGAATAAAGGACATCCAACTCAAAAAAAAAAAAAAAAAAAAAAAGACGGAGGTAGTGCTGGATGTTTGCTATTTCTAAAATTATTAATACTATCACCACTATTGTTTTAAGATACAAGATGTAGAGTCTTCAGTTACTGTACTTCGGAAAAAATAAAATCCCCATTATTTGGAGTTCTCCTTTGATCATGTTAAAATGCTCTTTCTAAGAATAGCAATAATGGAAAATGGGGTCAAAATAAAACAAGAAAGCATAAATATTTTGACATGAAAGAAATCAAATACCTGATTAAGGGAAAGAGCTATCATTCAACCAATGAAAAAAAGTTGAAGACAGGCATAAAACAACAAAGAAAAAAATTATGATTTGCGGGTATCTTTGGAAGAAGTTGGCTGAGCAGAAAAGGATGTAAGCTTTGGTCTAAGAGTGTCTGGAACTGACAGCGGCGCTCATTCAGCTGTGGCGGTTGGTGTTACAGGTGCAGTGAGGTGCCCCCCATAGTCCTCAGAGGTAACAGTCTGGTTGGGAGCAGAGACAATGACGAGTCCCGCTGTGGGGTAGTCTGTGGATGAAGTAAATGTGGATCGCGAGGAAACTCACCCCTGTTGTTTTCTAAAGATTTTATTTATTTGTCAGAGAGAGAAAGCACAAGCAGGGGGAGCGGCAGGCAGAGGGAGAAGCAGGCTTCCCGCAGAGGAGGGAGCATGATGCCGAACTCCATCCAAGGACCTTGGGATTATGACCTGAGCTGAAGGCAGAAGCTTAACTGGCTGAGCCACCTGGGTGTCCCTTAACCCAGTTTTTTGCTGACACATGTCAAGAGCCACAAGAAGTGGCCTGTCAGCTGAAACTGAAAGATGAGTGGGTGAGAGGAGTGCGGGGTCTCTGGTCAAAGCTGAAGTTAATTGAGGCAGGGAGGTCCGGAATGCTGACATAATTGAGGTCATTTAATGGACACTGCCAGGAATTGAATAGGGCTTGAGAATAGGATGTAAGAGTGAGCAGAGTCCCGGTAATGACGGGCTTTACAAGACTACCAGCCATGATAGGGAGCCCTAGACATTGTCATGAGGGCATTGGGAAGTCATTGAAAGATATCGGACTTGGAAGAGCTTTGGTCACTGTGTCCTATCAGCATGACTCTGGCAGCAGTGTGAAACATGAAATGAATGAAAGGTGGTGACGTGGCTAAGGGGGCCGGTTCAGAAACACTGGTAGCACTCTAGAGAAGAAATGGCAGTGGTTTGAACTGGAGGGAAAGGTGGAATTAGAGGGACAGAATAGGCATTTGAGTTGTGAAAACTCTCTTGTTTGCTGGGCAAGAGGTCACACTCTGGCTTCCTAATGTTATCTGAGAGAGCATGACACTTTCCAGATGGAACCAAACTCAAGTCCATCTGCCTGATGCAAAGCAAAACCAATCACGGAGACATTAGATATGCAGCAAGGAAAGTTTATTTGAGAAGCAACCAAAGGAGGCAGGAGTGCAGGCCTGAAACCCCACCCCCTCTCTGAAGGGAGAGAGGACAGTGTTTTTGTAATCATAAGGGTTGAGATTATATACATATTTATGAAAAGAGCAGGGAAATTTAACAACTTATTCAAGAGGAAAGATGGAACTTGTACATTGAGTGTCCTGCATGCATACATCCCGTGTTCCCTTTGGGGTGGATACCTGAGTATCCATCAGAAGGGGGAAGAATTTAGTCTCTGACCTCACGAAGTTATCTCAGGGCAAGGAGAAGGGGCTCCAGGCCTGCGCTGAGAGCCAGTATAACCTGGATTGGATCTTGGACTCCTTATCTAGGGTAAAGAATGCACAGCCTTGCTTGCTCATAGACTGGACCCATATCTGTTTGTTGACCTTGATTCCCAGGCTTCTGCAGTAACAGCTCATGAGTTCGTTAGTAGGGTCTGAGAAGACACAATAGCTGATTAGGGAGAAACAGTTCTTTGGGGAAAAAAAAAAAAGTATAAACTTTCTTCTAGTTTCAATCTCATTAACCCTATGGGGTACATTTTCAGGGAGGCAATTGAATATAAACAGTCCAGCACCTGGGAGAGATCAAGGATGGAGACCAGGATTTGGGACAGCTCTTCTCAGTGGTAATGAGGTCACGGGAGTGTGCACATCCACAGGGATATGCGGAGTGGAGTAACCAGGATTCCCACAGCAACCCATTAGGAGCGTCACATTATCCAATTGGGCAGAAAGAAGGGAGCCAGAGGACAAGCTGCCAAACTGGGTGGTATGCTTTCCTAGAAATCAGGGAGAGAGCTTTTCAGGCAGGAGAGAGCAAAGAAGGATCAATGGCTGCAGAAGTTATAGACAGAGTAACTAATATTACTGGGGAAGAAACTGTTAAATTTACCAAAAACGGAGTCAACTAATGACTTTTTTTTTTTTTTTTGAAGATTTTATTTATTTGACATTGAGAGACCCAGCGAGAGAGAGAACACAAGCAGGGGGAGTGGGAGAGGGAGAAGCAGGCTTCCAGCCGAGCAGGGGGCCCAACATAGAACTTGATCCCAGGACCCTGGGATCCTGACGTGAGCCAAAGACAGATGCTTAATGACTGAGCCCCCCAGGAGCCTCAACTAGTGACTTTGACAGTAATTTGACTGATTTTCATAGGCCCAGAAGTGAGTGGGAAATGAGAACTACAATTGACAGGTGTAAACACAAGAGTCTCTCTCTGAGGTAGCAAAGAAAATTTAAAACTTGGTTGGGTGGCCATAGGAAACATAGTGGGTAGGTCAGGTTTCATTGCAATTCCAGTTTAGGTCGGAGACCATGATTTTCTGAAGGTAGTGTTTTGGGCAGGGCTGTGGGTTTGTGCTGGGGTCAGAGAGTTATTTTAATTTTTGCAAGGCTAGGGAGCATTGTAGGATTTTTGCAAGTGTAGAGGCGAACAGTTGGATTGCTCTATAGTAGAGCACTTTCAATTTCCTGAAATTCCCCTGGAACATTAGGGAATTTTCTGCATGCAGACTGCGGGATTATATAATGGCATCTATTGTTCAAGTATTGTAATGCCCAAAAAAGCAACATTATTTTCCCATAATGATATTGACCAAAATCAATGCAATTTACCTGTCCAAGTCTTTCCTTGAAGTTGCAAGCCATCATCAGACTCCAGAGTTCCAAGATAGTTCTAGCATTTCTGAAGCACCCACTGGATACACAGTGCCATAGAAAAAAGACCTACAATCCCTGACCTCTGGGAAGTTGCGTTCTACGAGGAGACTGAGCCTGAGGTGACGAGTTATCATTAGTTTGTTTCAGACTATGGGAGAGTCACTGGAGCAGGGTGCTGTGTACTACAGAAGGCTTCTTAGAGGAGAGGCGAGTTTTTAAATGAATTTAGAAAAAAGTGGGGGGCGCCCGGGTGGCTCAGTTGGTTAAGCGGCTGCCTTCAGCTCGGGTCATGATTCCAGGGTCCTGGGATCGAGCCCCACATCAGGCTCCCTGCTCAGCGGAGAGCCTGCTTCTCTCTCTCCCTCTCCCTGACGCTCTGCTTACTTGTGCTCTCTCTCTAACTCTCTGTCAAATAAACAAATAAAATATTAAAAAAAAAAAAAAGAAAAAAGAAAAAAGTGGGAAAGGTTGCATACCTATATATTTTAAGATCATAAACATTGATTTTGTCTTTTCAATTTATTGTTGCATGAAAATTCAGCTTATCCCCCATCAAATAAAATGCTGATAGCCTGTTACTTAAAGCAAGCAGGGCACATCCTCCACTCCTCCCACCACCTGGGTAAAAGCACGTAAGTATCATTAAAAGCCTGCCAAGGATCTTTCCATTTATTCTGTATTACCTACATCCTGTCAGACCACAGTCCTTGGCTGGTGCATCAGATAAATACATGTATTTTTTAAAATGCATAAAAAAATACCAAAAAAAATTTCATGTTCTTAATCTCTTATCCCTAGATGCCTGTGGTGAGCCACCAAAATATGAAACTATGTTCCTCAGGAGTGCCCTTAAAAAATATTATGAAGTTGGGGAGGATATATTGTATGAGTGTCTCCCAGGATACATAGCTATGAGCTCTGTCGTGACTTACTGTGAGCAAAATCACTCATGGTATCCTATTGAAGAAGCTTGTTACAGTAAGTAAACAACAACAACAACAACAAAAACCCAAAATTGTATTTTGCTTTCTCTAGAGATTTTTACAAATTTTAGGGTCCATTTTCCACTACTACTTTTTACATTTCTTTTTTTTTTCTTTCATTTTTTTCCCACCACAGCAAGATTTTCTCATGTGAAAATTAGTTTCAGGGAGCAGTATTTTTCCAGTATTTAAGAAATTCCCAGGGGATCTTTTTCTTGGCAATTGTTTACCAGGTTTAATGTGAATTTTAAGTTTGTATACCGGTTAGTTACAGAAAATGATATTGCATTAATTGCAGAGAGTAGTACAGAATTTTGACTTTGATTTAAATCTGTTTTGAAATTGGTGTTAAAAAAAATTTTTTTAAATTTTATTTTAGGGAAAGAATGTAAAACTCCAGTACTCAAAAATGGCGAAGTCTATGCCCCAAATAACTCCTTTCAATTTGAAAATGCAGCTCACTTTTTTTGTAATGAGGGGTAAGTTGCTCCTTAGAGGAAATGAGGTAAATGTTACTAATTCTATTTTTGTTTTGCTCCTCAAGCATTTCCATAAATGTTGCACTTTTAGCCAAACAACCCTTGGGTTTTTTAAAGAGACTGAAAAGATACATAATTAATTCAAAGAAATCAATTCTGAAGGAAAGCAAAATTGTCTCATATTTATATATCTATAATAAGTTTATTGTGAGCATCAAAAATGTAGTAATCACGGTGACTTTATCCTTGGCAAAATGCACCCCATTTAAAATGCCAACTCTCAGATTTGAAGGAGGACTCACAGAAATGTTGTGTTCTTGAAGTCCTCTGCTTCCTCACTTATATTGATGGTTCTCTCCATTACTGTGAACTGGGTACTGAAGTCGCCAACTAGTAGGAATTACTATTATGTAGAAATGCATATTTCTTTGTTCGATTCTGTCAGGTTTTGCTTCATATGTTATGGTGGTAGTTATCAGGTGGCATAAATATTTACAACTGTTAAATCTTCTTACTGTATAAACCCTTTGTTGATGTATAATGTCCTTTGTCTCTTATAACCTTTTTTGATTTACAGTCTGTTTGGTCTGATATTAGTATAGTCAACCTTACTGTCTTTTGGTTACTATTTGTTAAAATATCTTTTTTCAGTCCATTTACTTTCAACCTGTTTTGTCCTTGGATCTGAAAGTGAGTCTCTTGTAGTAGCATATAGTTAGATCATGTATTTTCATCCATTCTACCAATCTCTGTGTTTCGATTAGAGGGTTTTAATCCATTTAAATTTGAAGTAATTACTGATAAGGAGTCAATTACTTTTGTCATTGTGCTATTTGTTTTCTGTATGCCTTATAGCTTTATTCTGGCCCTCATTTCCTGCATTAGTGTCTTTTTTTGTTTATTTGACTTTTTGTATTGAAATGTTTAAGTTCCTTTCTCATTTCCTTTTATGTATATTCTATGGCTATTTTCTATATGGTTATCATGGGGATTATATTTAATATCCTAAAGTTATAACACTCTAATTTGAATTTGTACCAGTTTAATGTCATAACATACAAAAACTCTGATCCTTTAGAACTCCACTACCACCCCCTTTGATTGTTTATTATACAAAATTACATCTTTCTACATCGTGTGCTCCAAAACATAAACTAATCTTACTTTTAAATTAGTCCTTTAGATTATGTAGAAAACAAGATTTGGAGTTAAAAACCAAAGTTACAGTAACACTGTGTTTTACATTTCTGTTTTTTCTTCCCTTTAATGTATTAGTCTCTTAGGTTATAAAGAAAACAAAAATTGCACTTATACAATAATATAAGCTGTTATAATTACCAATGTATTTACATTTAATGAGATATTTATTTCTCCATATGACTCAAAGATACTTTCAGCGTCCTTTCATTTCATCTTGGAGGACTCCCTTGAGCATTTCTTCCCTCTTAAAGGGGACATCTAGTGGTCACTGAGTCCCTCAGCTTTTGTTATAAAGTCTTGGTTTCCTCTTCACTTTTGAAAGGTAGTTTTCCCAGATTGATGTTTATTGGTTGACAGTTTTTTCCTTCTAGCACTTTTTGGAGTATACTGTCCCACTATCTTCTGGCCTTCAAAGCTTCTGATTAGAAATCTGCTGATAATATTATTGAGGCTCCCTTGTATAATGACTCACTTCTCTCTTCCTGCCTTTGAGACTCTCTTTTTGTCTTTGTCTTTTGAAAGTTTATTACCTGTCTTAGTTACTCTTGGAGTTCATTTTTCCTGGAGGTTGTTGAGCTGCTTGGATGTTTATATTCACGTCTTTCATCACATTTGGGATGTCAACCATGAGCTATTCTCTCCGCCCCTTCCTGTCTTTCTTATCCTTTTGGGACTCCCACAATGTATATGTTGGTCTATTTAATGGTGTCCTACAAGTCCCTTTGGTTCTGCTCACTTTTCTTCACTCTTTTTTCTTTCTTTTCCTCAGACTCAATAATTTCTGTTGTTCTAGCTTCATGTTCACTTATTTCTTCTGGTGCTCAAATCTGCTTTCAGTGCCTCTAGTGAATTCTTTGTATCCCAGTTATTTTACTTTTATGCTCTAGAATTTCTTTTAAGGTTTTCTGTCACCTTATTGACATTCCCATTTCATTCATATATCATTTAATTGACTTTCTCCTGTTCTTCCTTTGAGAAGTTCTTTGAGCATGTTTAAGATAGTTATTTTGAAGTTATTTTGAAGTCTCTGTCTAGCAGATCTGCCATCAGATCTTTTTCAGAAACAGTTTCTGTTGATTTATTTTTTTTTTCTTCAATGGGCCAAGCTTTCCTGTTTCTCTGTGTATCTTGTAATTTTGTGTGTGTGTGGAATACCGGACATTTGAATTCTTCCCTTTCCCTAGGGCCAATGTTTTATGTTACTGTTCATATTTTTGTGGTTATGGTAGGGTATCTCTGCTGAGGATCAGACTGACCTTTATTTACTGTCAATTTAAAATCAATTTAATTAATGTATAGTCTATTATTAGTTTTAGGGATAGAATTTAGTGATACATCATTTGCATTTAACACCTAGTGCTAACTACACCAAGTGCCCTCCTTCATGCCCATCACCCAGTAACCCCATCCCTCCACCCACCTCCCCTCCAGCAACCCTCCATTGTTTCCTATAGTTAAGAGTATCTTATGGTTTGTCTCCCTCTCTGATTGCATCTTATTTTATTTTTCTTTCCCTTCTCCTATGTTCATCTGTTTTGTTTCTTAAATTCCACATAAGAATGAAATAATAAAATATTTATCTTTCTCTGACTGATTTATTGCACTTAGCATAATACCCTCTAGTTCCATCCATGTTGTTACAAATGGCAAGACTTCATTCTTTTTGATGCTGAGTAATATTCCATTGTCTCTATCTCTGTCTATCTATCTATATCTGTTTCACATCTTCTTTATCCATTCATCTGTCGTTGGACATCTGGGCTCATCCTATATTTTATGAGCCTGACATTTAAACTAACAGTATTTCCAGAGACTTTCCTTGGGCATGCACACTCACTTCTTAATCCACTGAGCCACTCAGGCGCCCCTGCACACTCACTTCTTAATTTTCTTCACATATGCAGTTGGTTTTGAATATTCTAGTCTTTAATGTCTAGCTCTCTGGAGAGGGAAAAAAGTGAAAAATGAAATGGGGAGCAAATAGTCCTGGAGGTTTACATCCCCTGGAAGTCACTTCAGACAGTTAGAAAGGGGCTTACAAGAGTTAGGGGTAGGTATGGCGACAGTGGCTGCCCACCTCTTTGAATGCTTCACTGGGATTGGAAGCAGAATTCAATGATAAGAGCACAGGTCCCCAGTATTTGGAGGACAGGGTCCTTTTTGTGTACCCTGGCTCCCCAGAACTGCTTCTTAGCTGCTCCAGGAACACATACAGAGCTGTCTGCTGTGGGCGGGAGACACTGTGCTAAGGTGATATTGACTGAAATCAATGCATTTTACCTGTCCAAGTCTTTCCTTGGAAGTTGCAAGCCATCATCAGACTCCAGAGCTCCAGAATAGTTCCATCAGGCAGATTCGCCATTGCAGATGTTGTCTGGCTTGGGAGACGGACTGTTAGTGCTTCCTACTCTGTGTTTTCCCAGAATCCTTCCCTAAATACCATAACGTAGCAAAAAGGCAGCTGGATCCTATATAAACCGTTTCACCGACTATTTAATTTGATCGAGTAAAAATACTGGAACATCTAGTGAGTAGTTACATAGAGCAAGCCTGCTAGGCAGACAACAAGTGTAAGGTATAGTCTCTTCTCAAAAAAGTTGTAGCCTTGTTGAGAAACACAATGTATAGAGACGTGTCAAAACAAAATAATAAATCAGAAGTAGCAAATAAATAGAATTATTCATGCTTATTACAGTAAGAGTCCAGCAGGAGAAGAGAATACCATGAATTTAAATTACAAGAGAATATTTCATTGAGTAATATTCCTGAGCTAGCCCCAGAAAAATATTCTTACCTAAAGAATATTAACAAAAGCTAAAAATTGCTCTTTTGTATGTACCAGATGCTAACTCATCTAATCCCGGAAACTATCCCATGAAGTGTGCACTGTTCCCCTTTTCATAGATGAGGAAGCTGAGGAAGGGGACCATTAAGGGACTTGCCTGAGCTCAGACAGAAAGTGAGTCAAAAAGCTGAGACTCAGAGCCAGATAGGCAAGCTCTAGGGCCTAATCTCTCTACTCAGTTTTTTACTGAGAAGAGTGGTGTGAACATAGATGTAGAAATGAATGTGTAATGTGATTGCTGGAGATAGCAAAGAGGCCAGACTGACAGGTACAGCAGATTTATTTAGACATCTTTGCTTTTGGTCAATGAGGGTTCAAATGTAGAAATTCTACTTATTTATTTATTTAGAATTTTTAATTTATTTGACAGAGAGGGAGCACAAGCAGGGGGAGTGCCAAGCAGAGGGAGAGAGAGAAGCAGGCTCCTTGCTCAGCAGGGAGCCTGATGTGGGTAGGGGCCCTGGGATCATGACCCGAGTTGAAGGCAGATGCTTAACCATCTAAGCCACCCAGGTACCCCTAGAAACTCTATTCAATTAATAGCAGATATGGTTAGCACTTTCACTATATGTTATTTGAGAAACTTCTTCCTCAAACTACTGTTGTGTAGAAAAGCAACAATATTAAAATTTTCATTTTTATGTGTATCTTATTAACTAATAGAGAAAACAGTAAGTTTTTCTTTTCTCAGTTATTACTTATCTGGAAAACAAGCTGTAGTTTGTCACCGTCGTGGAGATGATGTGTATTGGGGTGACGAATTACCAACATGTAATAGTAAGTAAATTTTCATTTTAGAATTTAGACAAGCAAGCCTCAATCTTTTGGACCTCAGCTCCCCTTTATGCTTTTAAATTGACAAAGATCCCAAAGAACTTTTCTTTATGTGGGCTGTGCTTATTGATATTCATTATATTGGAATAAAAAATGAAAAGTTTTAAAAATAATTATTCATTCATGTTTAATAATAGTAAGCCCAATACATTAAGATACACAGCATTTTTTAATGAAAAATAAATTTTCTGAAAGAGATACTGAAAATATCGTGATTGTTTTACATTTTTGCAAATCTCTTTAATATTTGGCTTAAAGAAGGACATCTGGATTCAGTCTGTTGTGAAAGCACACAATTTGTAGCCTTGGAAAATTTCACTGTATGTTCATAAGGATGAAAGTGAAGAAAGACAGTATCTTGGCATTATTGTGAATCACTCATTTGAGTGATTCACTCATGTGAATTGATTCACTCATGTGAATTGAGTGATTCACTCATGTAAATCACTCATTCAGCATGTGTGTGTGTGTGTGTGTGTGTGTGTGTGTGTAATTTGCAAATAGATATATTTAAAGAGTTTCTCAACTAGCAGTGAATTTTATTTTTAATCACAAGCATGTCTTCTCATTAAAATTTCAGGACATTTTATGGTGACCAGAACAAAACTTAGCATGGCCTTATAAAGTAATAATAGGTATTTCATTTAGGTATTCAAGAAAATGAGTTTTGTGTTTTGAAAGTTTATTTGTGCGTGGTTTGAATTTGGGATCATTCATTTTCTCATAGAAGCCTAAATAGGTACTAGATTCACAGCTAGCTTATAGAAATTGTTAATGAATTTACTGAAGGTAGTTTGTAAGACTTTATATTGCTTTCTTAACACTTTTCCTTTTGCCCTTTATTTCCTCTTTTTATTTCCTTTTTAAGAGATTTACTGTAATCCACCTAAAAGAATAAAAAATGGAAAATACAGCAATAGTCACAGAACTCTATTTGAATATAATGAATTGATTACTTTTACTTGTAATCCTTCAAATGGACCAGATGAATTTTCCCTTGTTGGAGACAGCAAACTTATTTGTATTGACAATAACAAGTGGAGTAGTAGCCCTCCTCAGTGTAAAGGTAATGATATTTCCATTTATTTCCTTCTTCATTTGTAAATCTTGAACTTGGAATTTTGTAAATAGTTTTATCTGTAAGTAAACAAAACAGTGTGTATGTGCTTCCTCTTCCTGTTAAATTGACTTCCCTTGTAGATTAATACAGGTTCAAGTGAAATCAGTTCTAGTTACAGAGTTCCCTGCTCCTCATCCCACCTGTTCTCAGCATTCTAGTTCATACATGGTGATCTACTATGTATATGCATGAATTATGAATTTTTTTCTTGAAAGAACCCAAAAATTCAACACCTACTGGGTTAAAAATAAGAAAATATTTTTTTATACTACAAGATATCTGAGAGTTCTGGCTACAGAATAAATTGTAAAAGATGAACCCTCTAACCAACAAGATTGAAAAGCTCTGGACAAAACATATTTAAAAAAACAATATTAACAATGAAGAGTAATCACAAACAGAGAGGCACTAGAGGGGATTTGACTCTTAGAAGAAAGGGAGAACTGAATAGCAGCAAAATATTTACTCTTTTTTTCCCTCTTTTTAAAAGATTTTATTTATTTATTACAGAGAGAGAGAAGGATCATGGGTGGGGTAGGGAGAGGGAGAAGCAGGCTCCCCACTGAGCAGGGAGCCTGATATGGGGCTCCATCTCAGGACCCCAAGATCATGACCTGATTCCAGGCACCCCAAAATATTTACTCTTTTCAAGTCCATATAGAACATTCTCTAAAATGGGCATGACAATTTTTAACAAATTTCAAATAATTGAAATTATTCAGAATATATTAAGTCAAGCAGAGAGAGTCAATTATCATATGGTTTCACTTATTTGTGGAGCATAACAAATAGCATGGAGGACATGGGGAGTTAGGAGAAGGGAGTTGGGGGAAATTGGAAGGGGAGGTGAACAATGAGAGACTATGGACTCTGAAAAACAATTTGAAGGGTTTGAAGAGGTGGGGGGGTGGTGGGAGGTTGGGGGAACCAGGTGGTGGGTATTAGAGAGGGCACGGATTGCATGGAGCACTGGGTGTGGTACAAAAACAATGAATACTGTTATGCTAAAAATAAATTTAAAAAATGATTAAAAAAAGAATATATTAACTGATTACAATGGAACGAATGTAGAAATAAAACAGATAACCTAGAAAACCTTCAAATATTTGATAATTATGCAAGACACTTCTGACCAACCCCTGAGTCAAAGAAGAATTCACGAGAGAATTTAGAAAGTATTTTGAATTGAATAAAAATGAAAATATGGCATATCAAAATATCAAATTTGACACATCAGAAACATTGCTTAGAAGAAAATTTATGAAATGAAATAGTTATGTTAGAAAAACAGAAGTCTCAATAATCTATTCTTCTTTTTATTTATTTCTTTCTTTATTTTTTAAGATTTTATTCAGCCACTTGACAGAGACTACAAGTAGGCAGAGAGGCAGGCAGAGAGAGAGGAGGAAGCAGGCTCCCTGCCGAGCGGAGAGTCCGATGTGGGCTTGATCCAAGGACCCTGGGATCATGACCTGAGCTGAAGGCAGAGGCTTAACCCACTGAGCCACCCAGGCACCCCAATAATCTATTCTAAAAAAGAAGAGCAGATTAAACTCAAAACAAGGAGACAAAGGAGATAATATCAGTAGAAGTAAATCAATGAAATTGAAAAGAGAAAATTAATGAAACCAACTCCTGGTTCTTGGAGAAAAATCAGTAAAATAGATAAAGTTATAGCCAGACTGAAAGAAAAAAAAAAAGGAATATACTTTACCAATATCAGGAATGAAAAAGAGGACAACACTAAATATCCTACAGACATTTAAGGGATAATACGGGAATATTATGAAAGCAACTTTTGTGCTTATAAATATGATAACTTATATTTGAAATTGACAAATTCCTTGGAAGACACAAAATACCAACCAAGGCTCGCCCAGAGATATACATAACCTGGTAAGTCATCTTCTTTTTGCCCATATGGGGCTATGCCCAATATGGGGCTTGAACTCACAACTCTGAGATCATGAGTCACATGCTTTACCTACTAAGCCACCCAGGCATCCCTGAATAGTCTTTTTTTTTTTTTTAAAGATTTTTTTTATTTCTTTGACAGAGAGAGATCACAAGTAGACAGAGAGGCAGGCAGAGAGAGAGGGAGAGAAGCAGGCTCCCTGCTGAGCAGAGAGCCCGATGCGGGACTCGATCCCAGGACCCTGAGATCATGACCTGAGCCGAAGGCAGCGGCTTAACCCACTGAGCCACCCAGGCGCCCCCCTGAATAGTCTTAAATCTATTAAAGAAATAGAATTTTTAGTTAAAAACCTCCCCACAATGAGAATAGCACTGCCGGATGGCCTCCCTGGAAAATTCTAACAAACATATCAAGAACAAGTAACAGTAGCTCTACGCAAACTCCTGAAAACATTTAGGAGGAGAGAATACTTCTTAACTCATTTCTGAGAACAACATTATCCTAATGCAAAAACCAGACAAAAACTTTGCAAGAAAATTACAAACAATGTCTTAATGAACATAGAACCAAAACTTCTCAAAATAGCAACAAAACAAATCCTGCCATATATAATAATAATAATAATACGTCATAGCAAAGTGAGATTTATCCCATAAATGCAAGATTGGTTCACATTTAAAAATTAATCAGTGTCATTTACTATATCAAGAGACTATAAATAAGAAAAAAACCACAATCCTTTTAATAAATATTTTTTAAAAAGCACCTGACAGAATTTATCTTTTTCAGGATGAAATTTCTCAACTAGAATAGAAAGGAAGAAATTTTCTCATCATCAACAAAAATCTCAGAGCTAACATTTTATCTAATGGTAAAAGACTAATTTCCCTCATGGTAGGAACAAGAGAAGGAAAGCCACTCTCACCACTCTATCCAGCATTGTACAGCATGTCCCAGCTACTACAGCAAAGCAAAAGAAAGAATTAGGCATACATATTGGAAAGTAACAAATAAAGTCTCTGTTCACTTATGACCCAATTGTCTGTGTAGAAGATTCCAAAGACTGAAGTTTTAACAAGGTTGCAAAATATAAGATCAACACAGAAGACAGTTATATGTCTATATACTAGCAATAAACCATTAGAAATAGAAATTTGTAAAGTATTTACAGTTTCTCCAAAACATGAAATACTTGAGTATAAATCTAACAATATATATGAAAGATTTTTAAGGCTAAAACCTACTAAGCACCAATAAAGGAAATTAAAGAAAACCTTAATAAATGGAGGGATATATGTTAGTTATGGTTTGGAAGATTCAATATAATAATCAGTTCTCTGTAATTTATCTAAACTCAGCACAATCCCAATAAAAAATCCCAGAAGAACTTTTTGTATAAGTTAAACTGATTCTAAACTTTATACAGGAAGACAAAATAACTAGAATGGTGAAAACAATTTTGAAAAAAATTGGTGGATTCACTCTACCTGATGTTAAGACTATGTAAAATATACTTAAGGCATATAATCAAGACAATGTGCTAAAGGTGAAAGGATAGGCATATAGAGTAGTGGGGAATGGTATACTGAATCCAGAATTAAATGCTTGCCAACATATCCAGTTGATTTTCTTCAACTGTACAGGTATATAAACAATTCAGTGGAAAAACAATAATGTTTTTAACAAATGGTATAGCACAATTAGACATCCATATACCAAAAAACAAAAACAAAAATGAAAAAACAAAAAAACCTTGACCAAAGTTAGCAACACAAGCCAAAGTTTATTCAAAATGGATCATAGAGATTCAATAATTCCACTACTGGGCATTTACCTAAAGAAAACAAAAACACTAATTTGAAAAGATATGCACTCCTATTTATTGCAGCATTATTTACAATAGTTAAGATACAGAAGCAACTTAAATGGCCGTGAATAGATGAATGTCTAAAGAAGCTATGATACACATGCGTGTGCGTGCGCGCACATACACACACACACACGAGTATTACACAGCCATAAAAGATGAGATTTTTTGCCATTTGCAAAAACACAGATAGACCTAGAGGGTACTATGCTAAGTGGAATAAGTTAGACTGAGACAGAAAAATACCATATGATTTCACTCATATGTGGAATCTAAACAAAAAAATCAAAAAAAAAACAAAAATGAAAGCAGACCTATAAATAGAACAAACTGATGATCGCCAGAGGAAAGAAAGGTGGGAGATGAAAAAAATCGGTGAAGGGGAGTGGAGGGATACAGACTTCCCACTATAGAATGAATAAATCATGAAAATAAAAATATGGCATAGGAAATGTAGTCAAAAATATTGTATGGTGACAAGTGGTAGCTACACTTGTGAGTCTAGCATAACATGTAGAGATGGTAAATCGCTATGTTATACTCCTGAAACTAACATGTGTCAACTATACTCAAATTTTAAAATTCTTAAAAATTAATAAAATTGGGGCACTTGGGTGGCTTAGTCGGTTAAGCATCTGCCTTAAGCCCAGGTCGTGATCCCAGGGTCCTGGGACTGAGTCCCACATAGGTCTCCCTGCTCAGCAGGGAGCCTGCTTCTCCCTTTCCCTCTGCCACTCTCCCCTTCTTGTGCTCACTTGCTCCCTAATAATAAGTAATATCTTATAAAAAAAAATCTTATAAAAATATCTTTTAATAAATAAAATCTTTTAAAAAATTAATAAAATTTAGGGGGAAAATTGGACCACAGATTTACATGTAAAACGTAAAACTGTAAGACTTTTGCAAGAAAACAAACAAGATATTTGTGACCTAGTCAAAGATTTCTTAAATACAATCTATAAAGTGTGATCTTCTAAAGAAAAAAAAAAAATTGGATGTTCCAAACTCAAAACTTCTGGTCTACAAAAGAAGTGTTAAAAGAATGGGAAAAAATGAACATAGACTGGGAGAAAATATTTGCAAAGCACATATCTAATAATGGACTTCTAACTATGATACATAAAGAATTCTCAAAGCTCAATAGATAGAAAACAAAGCAATTTTTAAAAAATAAAAAAAATATTTGAGTAGACCCATTTCAGTAAACATGATATATGGGTGGCAAAAAAGTACATGAAAAGTTTCTCAATATAATTAGAAGTTATAGAAATGTAATTTAAAACCACAAATAGATACCACTAAACACCTATTAGAATGACTGAAATTAAAAACAAATGACTAATACCAAATACCAGCAGTGGTATAGAGCAATTGGAACTTTCGTACATCGCTGGTAAGAATACAAAGTGGTATGACCACTTGGAACCCATTTGTTCATTTATTGTAAAGTTAAACGTACACTTACCATATAGTTCATCAATCCAAGTAAAATGAAAACGTGCATATAGGAACCTTTATAAGAATGTTCAGCTGCCTTAGTTATAATCACCCCAAATTGGGAACAACCCACTTGTCCTTCAACTGGTGAAATGGATTAGCAGCTGTGGTACATCCAGATGGCAGAATGCGACTCAGCAATAAAAAGGAGTGAGCTCCAATCCATGCAGCAGCACGAATGACTCTCAGATGCATTATGCTGAGTGAAATAAGCCAGAGTCAGAGGCTGCGATCCCATTATGACATTCTGGAGAAGCAACTGTACAGAGATAGAAAACAGATCAGTGTTTGGCTGATGGTGAAGGTGATTGTGTGGGGATGTGTAGGGTCGATTACAGAGTGGCATGAGGATGTTTTGGGGGGTAATGGAACTTGTCTGTGTCTTTATTGTGGTAATTACATGATTATTTGCATTTGTCAGCCCTAATACAGCTGTATTCTTAAAAGGATGAGTTTTACTGTATGGAAATTGTGTCTAGCCGACACATTTGGCCATTATGGCCACTAACAGCCATCTGGCACAACGGCGCAAAAATCGGTGAACCTGAAGTCAGGAGAACAGGATTTGAAAAGAAATACTAGAAAGAGAGAGAGACTTACAGACCTGTGGAAGAGTAGCAAGAAGTGAAACATACAGGCTGTTGGAGCGTCAGAAAGCGGAGAAAGAACAGGGTAGACACCAATTTGAATAAACATGGGCCAGATATTAATCACATTTGTCCCCAAACAATAACCTCACAGAACCAAGAAAGTCAGTGACCCCAGCAGGACAAATACGTTGTTTTCATTTACCAAGAACCCCCCCAGGGTCAAGTGACTGAAAACAAAAGGTGTACAAGGAAAAGCAATCAGGGAGAGGGGAGAATAAACACATGTCACACTGTCCTCCCCACCCCCCACCATCGCCTGGAGTAAGAGTGACAGCTGACTTGTCCTGAGGAACGCTGGAGACTGGAAGACAGTATCTGCTAGGCTGCTGGAAAAACCCCACAGCGTTTCATCTAGAATTCTCCATCAAGGGGAAATCTTTCAAATCAGAAGGTGAGGAAAGGACACCTTTGGAGCTAAACCCAAGCCCGGAGAATCACGAGCCGACCTGCACTATAGGAATTGCTACCGGAAGTTCCTCGGGCTGAAGGGAAAGGACAGCTGCTGGAAAGTCAGAATCCCTGGGAACAGAGGAAGAGCAGTCCTCTGGTTGAAAAGGCTGTCCACTCTCCGGCCCTTATCTACTGCTCGTATTTAATATCATAGCATGTTCTGTCGTACTCACTGCTCAGCCCTGTGGTTTTGTTTCCAAATTCTCCCAAGCCCATGAGTCGATTCTGAAATCAATCTATGAGGTCATGAGCCGTGTGTACTTCTTAAGAGGGAGAGTAGAATGGGAACTAGCAGAGTCCTCCGGTATGAGGCTAACTTGTATTTCAGGCCTGTGTGCTCATATACTGGTATACAGCAAGAAGTGTGTTGTTTGATCTCTGGATTGCCGGCCAAGATGTTTGGAAAACGCTGCCCTAACTCCATTGGCCTTTGCATTTCTTGAACATTCCATTTGTGTATGTTATTGCTACCTGAGAACTTCCTTTTTGCCTCTCTTTGCATGGCTGCCTGCTTTTCAACTTTTAACTTTGAGCTCAAGTATTGCCTTCTCAGAAGGTGTTTCCTACCTTTCTAGAAAACCAGGCTACTGCAATCAGTGTCAACATGACCTTGAAAAAAACCCCTAGGGCAAAGAACATTAAAAGTTGCTCTTGAACTTACCCCAGATTTGTATGTGGTGGTCAGGCCTTTCTCAAACCTTATCAGTAATGGGAAAAAAGTGTAGGAAAGCCAATAAACTGTAATGCCAGTCTTTTTTAGGTGGAAAAAAGTTATTGGATTTCTCTAAATCTGTCTCCCAAGAGCTAAAATATATATATGCATACAGGTTTATTTGGTGGGTTTTTTTTTCCTTTTAATTAACACCTGCGCTTTTATTCCTTGTATGTTTCTTCCTGATGGAAATTATTACCTTGTGCTATTTTTTCTGCTCCTGTGTTCAAGCAGCTTTCCATTAATTTCTCCATTTTTCAGTGGTCAAATGTGAATATCCAGTACTTGAACATGGAAGAATGGTATCAGGAATCAACAACAAATATTCCTACCAAGCTACGGTTCTATTTGAATGCTTCCCAGGCTTCTATCTGAATGGCAGCAACCCAGTATTCTGTGGTGGGAATAGTACTTGGGAGCCTGCGATGCCAAAATGTATCAGAGGTACAAATGTCTTTTTCCATCTTTTTGTGTTAGCTTTTATTATTTCTTTGGCATCATTCAATATCAATGACATTGAGTCCTTGAAAAGAAGAAATTTTAGTATTTAACTCTGTCTTGTGTTTATTCCCATGATGGAGGCATGAGATGATTTCTGTGTTGTGATTTTGTATGTTTTCAGGTCTTAACAGATCATGTACATCACACGGGTATATAAGTTTCTCTTGGGTAGTATTTTAAAGAATGCACAGCGACCACTTTTAGAGTCAATTGAAGCATGAGAATTTTTACATGAATAAGTCAAGAATGAAAGGCATAATTCATATAAATGACAGCGGTAATGCCCAAGTAGTTGATTCTATGTTATTTGGTTTTTCAGTATCAGTTTCTCCCAATGTAAAACCTCCAACTTTGAGTCATTCAGATTAGTCCTTTCCTGCGTATATTTAACAAAGAATCCTTTACTGTTGTTTGATTTATATTCATTCATCATTGTTAGTAACGAAAGGATGAAGGACATGTTTATAGCCATTTTGGTTGTTATATATAGTTACTCTAAAACTATCTGGCATAGTTCGCAGATATCAAAATGTATGTAAACTTGGGCAAGTTACATAAAGTGAAAATGGGATACATTTAGCACTTAGCACAGTGCCTGGCATATAGGAAACTTCTAAGGGTAGCTCATATGACTTACAGCATCACTCAAATTAATACTAGTGAAGAGGAAGGTCTATGGCTTCTATTTTATTTTTAAGATTTATTTATTTAGTTAGTTATTTGACAGACAGAGATGACAAGTAGGCAGAGAGGCAGGCAGAGAGAGAGAGAGAGATGGAAGCAGGATCCCAGCTGAGCAGAGAGCCCCATGTGGGGCTTGATCCCAGGAGTCTGGGATCATGACCTGAGCTGAAGGCAGAGGCTTTAACCCACTGAGCCACCCAGGTACCCCTATGGCTTCTATTTTTTAACATGTCATTGACTTTGCTGTTTTATTCCTTTTAAAGGTGATCTGTTGGCTCCTTTAGAGTGTCTTCCTGATGCAGGACTATGTCTCAGTTGCTGGACTGCATCCAGTTTAGTATTTTGGTTTTGTTTTTGTTTTTGTTTCTATGTAGCATAATTTAAACTGGGAAATTTCTGCTATCTCCAGAAAAAGGCCTGAATGTCTTCCCTCATCCCCAGCCCTTGCCGCTTCATACAATTATTGTTTTTGTTTTTATTAGGTGTTTTTATTTGGCAATTGAACCTAAATTTCAAAGCAACCAAAAGGCAGGAAAAATCGTTCTTCATTAAAATGAAATGGAGGATTTGTTGCAGGGACTACTTGTCAGCTACTCTACGTAAGACTTGAAAGCTGATTTTGCTCTAATGGAAGGAAATATCTTCCTGATTTGAGGGCTGCTCTCTCTGGCCTCTCTCTGTCTCAGAAAACACAAGACAACAGAATAGTGGGAAGAGCATTAGCCTGGGCTGACCTCATCAGGGTCCTAGTTTGGCTCTGCTTATTCAAGTCACCTCATTTGGTGGACTTTACGATTTCATGGAGGTGTTGAACTCAAACAGATCATGAATACTGGCTTTTAATTTGTTTATATATTTCCTATGGCCATACTATTTTAAAGGATTTGGGAGAATTATGCATATTAACATGGTAATGAGAATACTTCTTTTTATAATTCCTATAAACCTAGTACCTGATAGCCTCCTTGTGTACTTTAGTTGAGTGCTGTGAGGTTTGGAGGGAAAGAAATACATTTTTGGTGGACTGATAAGATTGCATATGAAATTTATACTCCTTGACCCATTCATGTTTACTCACATGGGCCTGGTGGACATATACACTGTGGTGCGGTGTTTGTTGAGATGCTCTTTTGAAGGAGTTGAAGTATAAGCATTTCAGAAAGAGTTTATAAAACACTGATAGAGTTTAGGTTGTTTTTTTTTAAGATTTTATTTATGTATTTGAGAGAAAGAAATCACAAGTGGGGGAAGGGTCAGAGAAAGAGGGAAAAGCAGGGTCCCCTCAAAGCAAAGAGCCTGATGTGGGTAAGATCCCAGGACCCTGAGATCATGACCTGAGCCAAAGGCAGACACTTAACTGACTGAGCCACTCAGGTGCCCCTAGAGTTTAGTTTTTGAAAGAATTGTGAGAAAAAGCTTGTGAAGAGAAACTATAGGGATCTTTTAAAAAAATAAAATCAAAACTCCCTAGGGGATTGTTAATCATTTTTTATCATTGGTTAGAAAAAGACTATATCAAAAGCGTCAGCAACATATAATGGTGTTAAGGCAGAACTAAATGTGCAAATATTTTTTAAAAGGCCCAAGAAATACTAGGCAGATAAGAAAAAGATACAACTTCTTATGTAGTATGATACTACCTGGATGGTATTTTTTTTTAAGATATGTGTGTTTACTCTGAGCACATTATTTTTATAATTTACTATCAGTTAACTTCTAGGATTTCCGTATAAAACACAAGGTTTTGGTGGACATTCTTATATATATGCATGCTTATGTACTTGTGCAAATATGTATTAAGTTAAATTCCCAGAAGTAGAATTCCAAAGTTTGGAAAGCAGGTGTGTTTTTCATTTTGAGAAATAATGGATGTTTTTAAGAAATAAAAAATAAGAAATTAATATTAAATCCATAATTTTATAATGATAAGGCTGGTGAATTGAATCAAATTTATTTTTCCAGGTTTCAAACCTACTTATCCAACCAAACCTCCAGTTTCAAAGTACCCAGGTACACTAATTCTTTCTCTTGCTTTTATTGTTAACAACTTGATAAGGTGATGAGTACAAAGTTATGTCTTGTTCTAATTTGCATTTCTAGAATTTATCAATGAAGCTGAACTTTTTTTGTTCTACATTGATTTATCCATAACTTTTGCTCATTTTTTAAAAATTAGGTTTCTAAAATATTTCTCTTGTTGATTTGTGAGAGCTCATTTTAAGTTAAAGCCTTTTTCATATGAAGTGAACATTCTTTCAGGGGTTTTTTGGCCTTTTCACTAGTCAGTTTCTTTTAAGATTGTTTATTGTATGCTACTAATTATAGATTGCTTTTATAAAAGATTTTATCTATTTATTTGAGGGAGAGGGAAAGAGAGTGCATGAGGAGAGGGGAGGAGCAGAGGGAGAGGGAAAAGCAGGGAGCTTAGCAGAGAGCCTGACCCGGGGCTCCATCAGGACCCCCAGATCATGACCTCAGCAAAAGGCAGGCGGTTAACTGACTGAGCCACCCAGGTGCCCCTAGATTGCTTTTTATAACTTTTTGTTGCATGAGTGGTATATGGATATGTTTTCGTAAATTTTCAAACACTATGAAAATAGACATGTAAAGAATTATACTTCTTTCTCTCTAGTCTATTACCTGAATTAATCACGGTTAATAGTTTAGGGCTCTGCTTACTCAAGTCTCCTCATTAGTTTATTAGTGCATCAGCATTCCTTAGATGTGTAATTATACATATAGTTGAGTATTTTTTCTTTTATCTCAAACAAAATTGACATCATATTGTATATATTTTTCTGAAACTTACAATTTTTCCACTTAATGTTTTATATTGGGATTATATTTAGATTCACTGTTATTCTTTTCAGTGATGACTTTGAAAGGTATACTGTATTTATTTATTTAACTGTTCTGTTAGTGGTCTTTTACATGTATAGAAATTTTACATCAGTAGGTAGATGGATTAATGTATGTAATGATCTTTTCTCTAGTAGCTATGTATGTTGTGTCTTTCTTATAAAAGCTTCAGGTCTTCCTCATGCTACAACTTCCTAAACATTTCAACCCTGAGTTCTGATCGCAGTCTTTGCATTTAAATCATTAGTGCATCTGAAATTCATTACGGTGTCTGGAGTGAGATCCAGTTCCTCTCCCCTCTACCCACACCCACCCAGTGGCAAAGTAACATTTGTTGAATAAGTTGTTCTTTCTCCAACTGTTTTCAAGTGCCAATTTTTTTGTCATTAAATTCATAGGTGTTCCAGTCAGCTTTCTGTTTCCTTGAACTCTGACCATTCTCATAACAGCACTGAATCACTTTTTTCCACTCTATGATCTGTTTTAATATCTGGCAGAATACTTCCTTTTCAGAAATGTTTGGACTGTTTTAGTATACATTTCAGGGCATTATTGCATCCACATTGTTTGTTTTCTTTCTTTTTTTTTTTTTTTTATTTATTTGACAGACAGATCATGAGTAGGCAGAGAGGCAGGCAGAGAGAGAGGAGGAGGCAGGCTCCCTGCTGAGCAGAGAGCCCGATGCGGGACTCGATCCCAGGACCCTGAGATCATGACCTGAGCTGAAGGCAGAGGCTTTAACCACTGAGCCACCCAGGCGCCCCATCATCCACATTGTTTGTAACCATCACTACTACCTGTCTACAAAACGTTTTCATCATCTCAAATTAAAACATTATAGTCTTTAAACAGTAACTCTCAGTTCCCTCCACCACCCAGCCCTGGTAAAAATTCTGTTTTCTGTCTTTATGAATTTGATTAGTCTAGGTACTTCATAGAAATGGAATTATTTCTGCCTCATTTTATTTAGCATAATGTTTTCAAGGTTCATCCACCTTGTAGCATGGATCAGAACTTTATTCCTTTTTATGGCAGAATAATATGAATTGTTTTGTATATTTTGTTTATTCATTCATCTGTTGATAGACATCTGGGTTGTTTCCACATTTTGGCTAATCTGAGTAATGTTTCTCTGCATATTGGCTTCCAAATGTTTGAATCCTGTTTTCAATGGTAAACTTGAAAATAGAAAATTTTCAATTTTGAGTCCCTGTTAGCAGTTTTGGGGTACTGTATACCTAGGAATAGAATTTCTGGTTATATGATGATTCTGTGTTTACTTTTTTGAGGAACAACTGTACTGTCTTCCACAGTGGATATACATTTTACATTCCCACCAGCAATGCACAAGAGTTCCAGTTTCTTCACCTCTGCCAACACGTATTATTTTCTGCTTTTTTTTTCATTTACTTATTTATTTATTTTTATTAGCATAAAATGTATTATTAGCCCCAGGGGTACAGGTCTGTGAATCATCAGTCTTACACACTTCAGAGCACTCACCATAGCACATACCCTTCCCAATGTCCATAACCCAACCACCCTCTCCTTAACCCCCTCCCCCTGACAATTCTCAATTTGTTTTGTGAGATTAAGAGTCTCTTATGGTTTGTCTCCCTCCTGATCCCATCTTGTTTCATTTTTTCCTTCCTACCCTCCAAACCCCCCCATGTTGCCTCGCAAATTCCTCATATCAGGGAGATCATATGCTAATTGTCTTTCTCTGATAGACTTATTTGGCTCAGCATAATACCCTCTAGTTCCATCCATGTCATTGCAAATGGTAAGATTTCATTTCTTTTGATGGCTGCATAGTATTCCATTGCATATATATATATATATATATATATATACCACGTCTTCTTTATCCATTCATCTGTTGGTGAACATCTAGGTTCTTTCCATAGTTTTGCTATTGTGGACATTGCTTCTATTAACATTCGGGTGCACGTGCCCCTTCAGATCACTACGTTTGTATCTTTATGGTAAATACCCAGTAGTGCGACTGCTGGGTTGTAGGGTAGCTCTATTTTCAACTTTCTGAGGAACCTCCATACTGTTTCTCAGAGTGGCTGCACCAGCTTGTATTCCCACCAACTATTTTCTGCTTTATGAAAATAATGATCATACTGTGTGTTAGGTAATATATGAGGTAGAATCTCATTGTGATTTTTATCTGCATTTCCCTAACGATTAGTAACGTGTTGCACATCTTTTCCTGTGCGTATTGGCATTCTGTATATCTTTTTTGGAGAAAAGTCTATTCAAGTCCTTTGTTCATTTTTGATGGATTGTGTTGTGTTTTTTGTTTTGTTTTGTTTTGGTTTTGAATTTTAGGAGTTCCTTTTATATCTTGGATATTAATCCCTTATTATACGAGTTTCAGATATTTTCTCCCATTCTGTTGGTTGCTTTTTCACTCTATTGTTAGTGTCCTTTGATGTACAGATTTTTTTTATGTTTGATGTAGTCTAAGTTATCTGTTTTTTTCTTTTGTTGCCTGTGCATTTGGTGTCACATTCAATAAATCATTGCCAGGTGCCACATCATCAAGTTTGTCTTAGTTTCTTCTGAGGGTTTTATAGTTTTAAATTTTTAGGGTCTTTGATCCATTTTGAGTTAATTTTTATATTTGGTGAATGGCAAGGGTTAAAAGTCATCCTTTTGTGTATGTAGTTATCCAGTTTTCAAAACCATTTGTGGAAAAGATTGCTCTTTCCCTACTGAAGTTTGTCAGTACTCTTGTGGAGAATTACTTTACAACATACCCAAAGGTTTATTTTGTGGCTTCTGTTCCATTTGTCTTTAGGTCTGTCTTTATGCCAGCACCATTCTGTTTTGGTTATTGTAGCTTTATAGTAAGTTTTGAAATCAGGAAATATGAGTCCTTTCATCTTTTCTTTCTCTTTTCATGGTTGCCTTGACTATTCCTAGTCCCTTGAGATTATATATGAATTTTCAGATGGATTTTTCTTTTTCTGCAAAGAGCATCATTAGAATTTTGATAGGGGTTGCATTTCATTTGTAGATTGTTTTTTATCATGTTTACATCTTAACTTTAGTAGGTCCCCCAATCCACAAACATAGGGATTGCTTTCCCTTTTTTTATGTCTTTTTAAATTTCTTTCTGCTTTAGCTTAGAATTTTCAGTGTAACAAGCCCTTTACCTCCTTTGTCATGTTTATTCCAAAGTCTTTTGCTCTTTTTGATTCAATTATAAATGGAATTGTTTTCTTAATTTCCTTTTTAGATTGCTGATTGTTAGTGTGTAGAAATGCAGTTGATTTTTGCATGTTGATTTTGTATCCTGCAACTTTAATGAATTCATTTATTAGTTCCACCAGGTCTGTGTGTGTGTGTGTGTGTGTGTGTGTGTGTTTAATCTTTAGAGTTTTCTATGTAAAAGATCGTGTCACCTATGAATAGAGGTCATTTTATTTCTTCCTAATTTAGATGTTTTTTATTTCTTTTTCAACTAGTTCTGATATGAACTTGCAATAAATATGTTGAATAGAAGTGGCAAACACAGGCACCCTGTCCTGTTCCGGATCTTTTTTCTTTTAAGATTATTTATTTATTTATTTGAGAGAGAGAGAGAGAGCATGAGAGGGGAGAGGGTCAGAGGGAGAGGCAGACTCCCTGCTGAGCAGGGAGCCCGGTGCGGGACTCGATCCCGGGACTCGATCCTGGGACTTGATCCTGGGACTCCAGGATCACGACCTGAGCCAAAGGCAGTTGCTTAACGGACTGAGCCACCCAGGCACCCCCTGTTCCAGGTCTTAAGGGAAAAACTTTAGTCCCTCACCATTAAATTTGATGTTGGCGATGGGTTTTTCATAAGTGGCTTTTGTTATGTTGAAGAGACTTTCTATTCCAGATCAGCTTCCAAATTATTTCAAAGTCCTCCACTATTTTTTTAATTTTAAGTAGAATCATGTTGAATTCAGGCTAATTTTAAGGCTATGGTAGTGATAAGTTTGCTTCCTATACCACAGAATATTGTCACAGGAAATATCAGTGGACAGGAAGAATATTGTTGATGACATCAAATATAAATTTATAATTGATGACAGCACTTTTATTGATAACCATTAAGGAAAATGAAATTAAAAGTAGTTTCATACAAAAGCAAAAAATAAAACCAGTGAATTTATGGACCTTAAAGCTTTTGGCTATCTTTCTTTTTTAACTTATTTCCATTTTTTCCCCTAGGCTATCCCGAGCCCAGTGACCGACTAACACTTGAAGACTTTGAGGAATTAGGTATTATCTTGGCTACTAATTACTCTGCATTATGAGGCCTTGGAGTTCTGATTGGACATATCTATTGTGTTTCAATCATTGGTAGTTAAGGAAGGAACCAAGTTTCACAAAATTGGACATTTCTAGTTTTAAATTTTAGTAGTCCAGTTAACATGCTAAACCTAAGTGGTACTGTGTATGGAGACCCATAGGTCATTTCCTCTAATCTAGGGAATTCTGATAGTCCTGGTGAGCTTTAATTTACGAAGTAACCTGGTACAGCTCCGACAGCACAAAGCCATGAAAAGTCAGGTTCCAGTGAAGAGTTTCCTAAGATGGATCCTAACCATGGAATCTGATTAGAAGGATTCTGTGATCAGAATGAGCTAGACACGCTAGCACTCACCCTGAAACTAGACTGAGGAGCAACTTCTCCGACGTGGCGTTAGATGATCTGATCAAAATTAAATGCATCTACCGTCTGGGACCCTTGTGTGCTCAGTCTTCAAACAGTTTTCATTTTTTTCTCAGATGCAGGCATCATCGCTGTGATTGTTCTTACTCTTCGTAAGTAGCCCGAACGTTGGTGCCACTTAATCAAAATGCAACTGCAAGAAGTGCGTTATTTTTTAAATGACTTTTCAGTTTCTGTAGCTTGAAATGAAGTCCACCAGTCTAGAACAGCCTGACCTTGGTATGACACACTGCGTTTTGCTGGCGAATGTGTAGTCTTTTATACTGTACATGTCCGCTTAGTCACAAACCCTAAACGTTACATGTGTTTTCAGGATGATTGGGCACGAGTTTGCATCCCAGAGATGCTTCGGGTAATTTTCTAAACGAAGCAAGGATTCTTCTCTGGCTTCCTGTGGACTAGTCCAGTGGCTCCAGGGAATGGGCCTTAGATAGTAAGAGAGTCCAGAGGGAACATGAATAGATAGGTGCTTAAGTAAAATAACATTTTCTAACAACTGCAATGCAACCAGCATTTACTTATTTCTGCTGCTAAATCTTGAATCTTGACACCCAGCTTTCCAAGTTTTATGTCCTTTGTCTCCTGGTCTCTTGCAGTTGTTGGCCTTGCCGTACTTTGCACCTGCCTGTATAGATGTTTTCAAAGGGGAGAGAAAGGGTAAATAAAAGCATGTTCTTCTAACTCATGGTCCTGCTCACTCTTGACATCCTTTCGTGCAGCACTTCTGTTTGTCCCGCATACCGCGTTTTCGGAAACTGTGCCTGCATGAGCGCCTCATCCGTTTGCTTGTGTTTACTGGAACAGCCTTGGGCTGCTCTTACCGTCCCTGCAGTCAGAGGGCTCGCTGCAGAGTGGCTGCAGCTGTTAGGGCTGCAAGAAACGTTTTGGTGGGATTTGAGATTTAAGTTGTGTAGCAAATCATGGACCTAGGTTTACCCTGCGTCCTACATTGGACTAGTGGCCAAGATTAAATTTAGAACCGCCCACGGTGGAGGCTTGGACAGTTGTATTCCTTGAAATTTTTATGATGAAAGTTTCCATATGTCTGGGTAACTTAGGTAATTTTAAGAAGCTATGTAGGTTCTCATTCAAATACCCAATTTGAGGGGCACCTGGGTGGCTCAGTGGGTTAAAGCCTCTGCCTTCGGCTCAGGTCATGATCCCAGGGTCCTGGGATCGAGCCCCGCATCGGGCTCTCTGCTCAGCGGGGAGCCTGCTTCCTCCTCTCTCTCTCTGCCTCTCTGCCTACTTGTGATCTCTGTCTGTCAAGTGGATGAATAAAATCTTAAAAAAAAAAAATACCCAATTTGATTTGTTTTTATGTAGAGCTGTTATTTATACTTGTTGAACTAGGGAAGGAAAAACAGCACTATTTGATTTCCCTCTTATGTTCTCTTAATTTACCGGGTTTCAGTAAAACTGATGGGATTAAACTTAACATTACTGAGGGGTATGATTTACAAGGCACCTCATTAACTTTATCTTTGTTTTTAATCTATAAAACTGAAAAAAACGGGAGGCTTATAATAGAAAAAAAAGTGTGTAAGTACATATCTCCTATCGAGAATAGGGCTTTTAAACATCAAACTTAAAATTTTAGTGAAATGTCTTTCAATTTAGTAAGAGACTTAGAACAAATCCTGGAGCATAGACCAAGATTAGGTGCTTTGAAATTTCTGATTTTTTAGTGATTTTTAGTAATTTCCTTTCCCTGTAGCTTGGGAAATAGCTCTAACATCAAACCTAATCATTTTAGGGATGCCTGGGTGGCTCAGTCATTGTTTGCCTTCAGCTCAGGTCATGATCTCAGACTCTCTGCTCAGCAATGAGTCTGCTTCTCCTTCTCCCTCTGCCTGCTGATGACCCTGCTTGTGTTCTCTCACTCTCCCTCTCTGACAAATTAAATGAATAAAATCTTTAAAAAAAAAACACTAATAATTTTAAGGCTCTTGGTATTCATGGTTTTATGATATATTTTGCCTTTTGATTAATCATCTGGTTTAGGCTATATATAAAAGCATATTCTTTAGGGCCGTCTGGGTGGCTCAGTGGGTTAAATCCTCTGCCTTCAGCTCAGGTCGTGATCCCAGGGTCCTGGGATGGAGCCCCACATTGGGCTCTCTGCTCAGCAGGGAGCCTGCTTCCCTTCCTCTCTCTGCCTGCCTCTCTGCCTACTTGTGATCTCTCTCCGTCTGTCAAATAAATAAATAAAATCTTTAAGAAAAAAAAAGTATATTCTTTACATGTAAAGGACTCAAACTTTTTTATATTATTGGTTATTATTTTTAAACCACAGTGCCTTTGTTTGAATCTTCAATCTTGTATTTTTTGATATACATATTGGATTTCTCAATCAGTAGTATATTTTTTAGTACATATACACAATAGCATGAGAAGGAAATAGTGGAATAATTTTACAAGTCCAAAAGTTTTGTGTAGAAATAACTTCTCGAGAAAGCAAAACAAAATAGCTTTCTGCTTCTTATTTTCCTTTTTTGCTTAAATTCTCTGTGTCAAAATACTTACTGGGTCCTTAGCAAGTATTACTTAAACTCTCTATAGTTGCCAGTAATGGGTCTTGTAACCTGAGCCTCTGGTTTAAGATGGCATCATAAGAGGATCCTGAACTCATCTCTTCTCAAACACACAGAATCTACAGCTACGTACAGAACTGTTCCCTCTGGAAGAAATCTGAAAACTAACTTGATGAACTCCTACACATTCGGTGGATAAAAAACCCACATCAAGGGGCACCTGACTGGCTCAGTCAGTGGGGCATCTGACTCTTGATCTTGGGCTTGTGAATTCAGGCCCCACATGGCGCATGGAGCCTACTTTTAAAAAACACAAAAATGTACATCAAAATGGGTAGGAGAGACTGAGATAGTATCTCACCATAAAATCCTCCCCAAACGTGGTAACCCACATGGTCAGGCGGGAACTCAAGTCTGAGCTTCGTGGGAAGAAAAATGTTTGAACCCCACATCTGGCACCCCATCTTTTAAGACCTACACCTGAGAGATGGGTCTGCAAACACATCTAGCTTTGAAAGCCAATAGGGCTTATGTCTATAAGGTTATAGCGAACCAAGAAACAGTTCCTGAAGTGGCCGTGTGGATAACCCCCCAGGGTCCAGTGGAGAGGCAGCTGACTGAAATGCCTGGTCTTTCTGTGAAAGAGACCTGTTTGCTTCTCTTAAAAGCTTTAGGCTGAAGGGCAGGTATCTAATGTCACCCTCACCTAGGACCCGGCTGAAATACTCTTCAAAGCCCATGGAGGCTGGAGGGCCCCATCTTCCTGCCGCCCCTCTGCCTGCTCTCAGCTGCTGGGGTCTCTCAGAAGGGAGCTTGTGCACACATCCAGGGCTTTGGCGTTTATAGCTGCCACCCAGGGAACACCGCTTGATTGCCTGGCACTGGTGACCAGGGAGGCTGACATTGCAGGTCCCACAGGCCATAACAGAGAAGGACCTGTTAACGAGCCACAGCCCAGGACACAGCACAGAGGCAGCCAACTGAAATGTGCCACCAGTCTTTCTGGAAGGTGGCCTATTAGCATAGCCACGTCTCTGAGGCCTGAGGGACAGGCTTCTAACTAAAAAACGGCTGACTGCGGTCCTCTCCAGACACCTCGCTGTCTTCGTCTGTCCCTCTGCTGGACTCCATATTGCCAGCAGCTCCAGGAAAGAAGCCCACGCAGCTATCAGGTGGCCCGTGGGGCTTACATCTGCAGGTCACACAGGACTTTAACAAACTGACCGTTGTTAACCGGCTGCCCAGTCCAGGACACAGCACAGAGGTGGCCGACTGAAGTCATCCCAGTCTTTCTGTGACAGGCCTTTTAGCTTATCTGCATAGCTATGGCCTAAGGAATAGGCTTCTAATGAGACACACGTGGGTAAGCCCAAGACAGTCCTCCCCAGAGACTGGCAGACTGACAGGCACCTTCTTCAAACTCTCCTTCTGCCCAGCCCCAGGTTGTACATGTCTCTGGGAAAGGAGCTTGTGTACATGGCTGATGCCCCAGCTTTTGTGGCTGCTACCCAGAGGACATATCCGTTGATAACCAGCCCTGGTGGTCAGCGGGACAGTAACAAATAAAGCAATGGCTCTTAACTGACTATCGCCAGAGGGCCCCATACAGAGGGAGCACCCCGAAGCGTCCAGTGCCCAGCATTCCCCTGAAGGAGGTATATTTGCATGCTTTCTAAGCTGGCACCCAAGGGACTGGCTTCCAATCAGCCTAGGTGCTGACTGGGGTCTTCCTCTCCTGGACACTGACAAGTCTTGACAACACCCTCAACTCCTGAGAGCCACTGAGAACAAAGTTGGCAGCTTGGACAATCCCAAAGGTTTGAGAGACCACCAAGAGCTAGGGCTGGGTTGAACGATAAGTTATATCCCTACACCAGGGTGCTGCTTTAGGACTGGGAGAGCTGTTTCGTCGAACACCTAGAAACCAACAAGGTCAAGAAACGTAAGAAACAAAGGAACATGTTCCAAATGAAAGAACAAGATAAAGCCTGGGGAAAAGATCATAGTGAAATGGAATTAGTGATTTACATGTTCATCAATAGATGAGTGGATAATGAACCAGTGGTACATATACAATGGGATATTATTCAGCCATAAAAAAAGGAGGAAATCTTGTTATTTGCGACAACATGGATGGACGTCGAGGGCATTTGGCTAAGTGCAGTAAGACAGAGAACACAAATAGCATATGATCTCACTTATATGTGGTCTCTTGAAAAGACAAAAACACAACTCTTCGATACAGGGAGCCAATTACTGGTTGCCGAGGCGGGTGGCAGGGGTGGGTGATATGGGTGAAGGAGGTCAAAAAAGTACAAACTTCCAGTTACAAATAAGTCACAGAATGTAATGCACCGCATGGTAATATGGTTAATAATACTGTATTGCATATTTGAAGGTTGCTAAGAGTAGACCTTAAAAGTTTTCATAATAAGAAAAGAATTATAACTGTATGGTGATGGATGCTAACTAGATTTATTCATGGCTATAATTTTGCAAATGTACAAATCTTATTTAAGTATATTGTACACCCGAAACTGATGTGTTATATGTAAATTATACCTCACTTTTTTTAAAAAAATGGACAAACAATGTGAATACACATTCTTCTAAAGAAGACATAGAAATTGCCAACAGGTGTATGAAAAGATGTTCAACATCACTAAACATCAGGGAAATGCAAATCAAAACCACCAAGAGATATTATCTCACAACTGTTAGAATGGCTACTTCAAAAAGATATGACAGTAGAAAGGGGAACCCTTGTACCCTATTAGTGGGAATGTAAATTAGTGTACCATATGGAAAATAGTATGGAGGTTCCTGAAAAAAATAAAAATAGAAATAACTTACCCATCAATTCCATTTATAGGTATTTATCTGAAGGAGATGATATCACTGTTTTGAAAATACACTTGCACACCAGTGTTCATTGCAGCATTATTTACAAATAAGACATGAAAACAACCTAAATATCCATCAGTGAATAAATGGATAAAGAAAATATGGTACATATATACACCATAAAATGAAAATATAGTGTCTGTGTATATACTATATACATATATATTATAGAATGTGGTACATTTAAGTGTATAATGCAATATTATACATAATTGTATAGCCCATTATATAGATTCCATCATCTGATGATATGTTATTCAGCCATAGAAAAGGAAATCCTGCCATTTGTGACAACATGGATGGACCTTTGAGCATTATGCCAGGTGAAATAAAGCAGAGAAGGACAAATACTTTATGATATCACTTATACGTGGAATCTTAAAAAAATGAACTCATAGATACAGAGAAAAGTTTGGTGGGTGCCAGAGATGGAGCGGAGTGGGGGAGGATGGGGAGAAGGGGTGTTAGTTGAACTGAGTGAAGGTGGTCAAAAGATTTGCAGTTTGTAGGATGTACTACATCGCGGAGGACATAATTGACAGAACGGTGACTAT